TTCTTAAAAGAAGTTGGAATATATTATAAAATATAAAAATGTTGTATAAATTTAAAATGATTTTAATTTTTATCACGTTATCTTAGTGTTGAATTTTATTTGTAAATAAGCAATTTCGCTTTAGACTTGAGTTTAAGTATATTGAAGGACCTTTTGTCTGATTTAAAAAAATAATTTAAATTGTAAAAATATTTGAATTAGCTCTCGCCGCGATATAGCCTTTTTGCGCTAAGGCGGCGTAAAGCAAACACCAATCAATCAATCAATCAGATTTATAGTATATTTGCAGAGTCTTCTTCTATATTTTTTCTGTTGCAAGAGAACGGGTAAATTAAACATCAGCCTGTTACACCATCACACTTTAGTGTGTTATACCATCATACTTTAATAAACAAACAACTGTCTTACTTTAGGTACAATCATACTTTAAAGTCATACAAGCCTTGAAGGTATAGTTGTTTTTGTGTAATTCGTGTATTGTTGATAGAGTTAAGCCATTTTCAATTAATATTTTATAGTGCGTCTTTTCATGTTGTAATGTTATACTGCTGTATCAGGTTAGGGTGAAGGTTGGCGCCTGTTAAAACAGTCAAACCCGCTGCATATATTATATGCACCTGTCATAAGTCAGGAACCTGTTCTTCAGTGGTTGTTGTTTGTTGGTATGTTTCATAGATGTTTCTCGTTTCTCGTTTTGTAAATAGATTAGACCGTTGGTTTCCTGTTTGAATTGTGTTACACTGGTCATTTTGAGGCCCTTTATAGCTTGCTGTTTGGTGTGAGCTAAGGCTCCGTGTTGAAGGCCGTACTTTGACCTATAATTGTTAACTTTAAATACATTGTGACTTCAACCTGCATGGAGAGTTGTCTCATTGGCACTCAATACTACATGTACCACATCTTCTTATTTATATATATACAAGTACAGAAAATCATTTTTGATATTTTAAACCACAGTCCTCAGACTATGAAGTTAGACCTAAAAAATACCTATCCTAAGGTTGTTTTTCTTTAAAAAGGATGGGTGTATTGCAAAAAGGCAGGAACTGCTTACTCTTCCGGAGCACCTTAATTGGTTCACTCCCTATGCAATAGGAGATTGAGTTGTTTGTGTGCATGTCTTTTTGTTTGTTTTGTAAGTTATAATCATTTGTTCTTTGTTTCCCGGGTTTGTATATTGTTAGGTTTCTGATTTCCACTTCGGTTTTCTTTAATTTTTTTAGATAAGTCAGAATGTAAAAGATTGGTTTGAAAATTTATTTTTTCTATTCTAACGCTTACCAGGTAATGCAACTGAGCAAACAAAGCTCTCAAACTCCTTCGACCGATCAATCAACGTGTTGAATATCCATTGCTGAATAATGCTTGGCCGACAGATGTATCCTTCTCGAGCGGACTTCTTTATCCGGAAATTCGAAGAGGCAACGAGGACACCTTTCGGGTACCTTCTTGTTGACCTGAAAGCTAGAACCCCGGAAGCATCCAGATTGCGCACAGAGGTCTTGCATATCGGTAAAGGAGATTCCGCGACACAAGACGAAAAGATGGAGGACGACCGTCTCTCCGATACATTTGAAGACAATATATCGGTCTCATCAGAAGAAGACATTGCCGACGAGACAACAAACACATCTAGTTCGTCGGAAGATTCTGAGAGACGAGAAGATCTCATAGCATGTCGGGATTTTGGAGTAGTGTTTGCTCACCTTCGTGGATTGAAGCCCATAGTCAGCAAGGGTGTGGGAAGAAAAAACAACATTGCTCTACCGATGACCGGGAAGGATGTAGAGGATGCTTTGAGTGGATTGTAAATATGTTGTCAATCAAGAAATCAAGCATCTTGATAAGGTCAGTTTCAGAGAATTTTTTGTTTGAATCAGAGTGATTCTTTACAAAGTAGGATTTATCCCTCTTTCAATTTGTCTTTTAGTTTGGAATTGGGAATACTTGTGTAAAGCGTAGAAAAGTCAAATGTTTTAATACTATTGCAAGATGAGAGAGTCTTAGATTGTATGTACTCTAAAAGATCTTTGGAATTTTTTAGTATCCACATCTGATTCACGCCACCTCTAGAATAGGAAGTTTCACAATAACTTTGGAACCCGGCTTTGATTGCCGATAAAATAGCTGTTACTAACCATACTTCAATTTTGCTTTTGAGCAATGGAAAAATAGCCAACGGATAGTATGCCACTGGATAAGCTAACCAAAGGCTAAATTTTTATATTCAGTAAAATATGTGTGAAATTACAATACGTTTTTAGGAAGTTTCCAAGGGAGATAATCATTTTTTCTTTCGAAAAGTCTTCTATATTCAAAAGAATAATGTTTTTAATAGGTTATCTCCAATGGAAACTTATTAACAACGTATTGTAATTTCATATATATTTTACTGAATATAAGATGTATTTTAAAATTCAAATGATGTCTGATTCTTATGAATATAGAAGACTTTTCGAAAGAAAAATTGTATGAAAGCTTAGTTTGGACATTTTTATAGCAATTCAAAATTACTACCTATCACAATAACAATAAAATTTCTATACAAACTGTTAGACTGATATTTCATAATAACATTGAAGTGGAATTAAAGTCTCATAGGATTTTAAGAATGCTTTATTTTATCACCTTGCACTTTCACGACTTGACTGGTTTTCTACAACAGTTTGTTCAAATTTCTGACCAGTTGAACAGTTTGGTTTTATAAAACAAATTGCCATTTGGTCAGAATTTTGAATAAGTTGCAATAGGTGGAGAGCAACACTAAGTCAAGTCACAGTAACGGTAAATCCGTAAGAATCTGGTCTGATTTTTTATATGTTCTCTTTTCTCTTGGTTATTTTGACGCATATCGTAAATGTATAAAACTAGGTAATAAGGGGTTTGATAGTGTTTATTGTCCCTTAATTGTTGAAATTATCAATCCTACAATTTTAAAAAACAAAAGTTACCCACATCCGAAAATAAAGTTTTGAACAAAAAGTTACGGACCTCTTATGCATTTTTTAAAGTTGGCCTTGCGCTAAAGTGAACTCAAAATTAACAATTTTTTGGTAATGGTAAGTGTTTTCTTTATTCAAGAATCCTATGAATATTTACACAGTGCACGAAAAACGTCACAAAAAGTAGATTTTGTATCAATTATATATCAACGAGTTTTAATAGAGTCCGCCATCTTGGGCTGTGGGTAACTTAAGTTAAGTTACCCACAGCTGTTTAAGCACAGTGGCATTGTATGTTCATTTTCTGACAATTTACTGTTTATAAATGTTGAATTATTTTAAACCATATGATTGTTCTACCCTAGGCATACATTGCCTTAGTCGTATTTGGACAAATGTTTTATTCATTTTTTTTTTAAATTCGTATTTGATTTGGCGCACCTGAATTTTTCTTTTGTAGACCATATTGCTTACCAAATTAAAAACCTGATATCTTTGGTGAGTGTTTACCGTTTGTTCCTATCTGGTGCTCTTACACCACTGTCCTAGGTTATGGGATGTATGGGTAGCGTGCTTACAAATATGATCAAACAAACCACATTCTTTATTTGCCTGTTTCAAGCCAGGAGTCCGTGTACTTCTGTTTTTTGTCGTTGGTTGTCTGTCATATTTGGTTTGTCTTTTCTCGTTTGAATTGATTCACATTTGATTATGATGAGTGTGTTTAACTACCTTAAGTTGACTGGCTATACAGCCCTCGAACTGTCAATTATTATTACTGGCCATAAAGATGAGGACATAATGTTGAAACAAGACTATACACTGAGTTTTCAAACGACATGAACTGTTAAAAGAGATGCAGAAAATGCCGAAGTGGTAGTCAAACTCATAAGTTAAAAACGAACTGATAATGCCAGTTCATATTATTTTTCGTGTATGATAATAATGGTGTCACCACAATATCATTAGTCATTAGATATGTTATGCAATTATTCGATTCTGACCAATATGTAATCATATAACTAATGATAATGAAACTGAAACCCAAATAAAAGTATCTGAAAATTAAAAAAATAGAATATAGAATAAATACCTCTGATAAAAAAAAATATAAAAATTGTCGTTTTCTCTATAAAAAAAACCAACAAAATCACCCTTTTGGAAAGGTTAAAAAAAGATTTATTTTTTTTTAAAGTCTAGTGATGTTTCTTCATTCAGATTTATTTGTAATTGACAATGAAATGAAGATTTATTACTGTTAAAAGGTAATATAAAGTGTACTGGTTAGAGCGATATACCAGGTTGCAGAAAATGCCCGAGGTTTCGTATATTTCTCCGATAATTAACTGAAACTTGATTCTGTCTTAAACATTTTTATATCAAGTCATTTGTAATTTTTATGTCAGTATTAATACATACCAGATTATCTTTTCATACATGTGATATTTAACGAGAAACAAATGGCATTTCGTGATTCATCATAAAAGTAATATCACTTACGGGAATAATTGATAAGAAATAATATATAAATTACTAAAAGAATCGGATACACATTTATAGTTGATTGATATATTTTTCATAAGCAAGCGAATGGGACTTTTTCCTGTGTGAATATTTTTAGAACTACAAATTACTTACATCATGTAAAAAATCAAAATCAACTGATCTTCGGTAGTCAGTCAGTCTGGATTCACATTTTTGCAAGAAATACCAATTGGAAAGAAAGAATGATAGACTGAAAAAGAAAGGAGTTAAATTTTAAATTTTGAAGTGGTTAATTCGTTGTTTAATGAGATATATTTATCATAGAAATGAGAAAAATAGTTATGATGGTGAAGAAGGACACAAGAATAATTGACTTATGATTATCTCTGTTAATTCATATTTTTAATATTTTAAACCGTGTTTAACTTATCTTTAATATTCCAATTTAAAATACATACTAGTAGTATCTAGACAATCTTAACGGCAGCGCAAACCAAATTTTATATTTAAAGTCCTATATATATGATAAACTACCAATACTTCTCATTGTATTGTTCCGTTGAATAAGGAAACGGACATCGCTTTTCATTGGTTACAAAGCTATACTGTGAAAATGAAGTATTCAGCATGCAGTTTTTAAAGTATTCAACACGGAATTTAAATATATGAGTTAGAACTAGCTGTACATTTTGATAACATGGCGTCTTCAATATCTGATTCCAGTACAAAAAGAGCTCAAGTTCGCCTTATCGTGAAATGTTATTTCTGCAGAAATTTTGTGTCTGCAAAGTGGAAGTGCTTGAATTGTAAAATAATTATGTGTGAAAAGTGTAAGGTGGCTCAACATTCTAAGAATTTTAATGCTCTGAAACACAATATAGTCGATATAAAAGAAGACGAAGATATAAACGGTATTCCATGCGACAAACATGGCGATAAACTGTGTTATAGTTATTGCAGAGATTGCGAGGAGATTATCTGCAAAGAATGTTTAGTTAACTTCCATCTAGAACATTCAAAAGCAGAAATACATACCATTTATAAGGAAAAACTTCAATATTTTCGGAAACAGTTTTCCCCTGAAGTTCATCCAAAGGCTTTAAGTTTTATATTTGGACATTTTAACAGATTGGATGCCTCTCAAAAAGCAATGAACATAACTTTGAAATTAAGAAACATAATAGGAACCAATCTATCTTTCATCAGTCCCATTGTAAGAACAACAAACTCTCTATGGATCAGCTGTTGGAAAGACCAGGCCTTGAACGAATTGGGAATTGGGTCAGAAATAACAAATCTCCGAACTTACAGTGATAAAAAAGTCTACGATATGACATTGTCGAATGACGGAGAACTACTTACGTTTGTTGCAGACAGTTATTTATATCGTCTTATTGATCATTTAAACATTGTTCATAATTTTAGTCCTCTCTTCGCCAAAGCAGTTCATGCCACAAATACCAACATTATTGTTAGTACTCAGGACAAAGAAGGTGCTTTTCCAATTACGGAACATAGCAGACGCCAAATTGTTATTCTTGAACTAGATGGAAAGACAGTTTTCAACATCATAGAACACAATGCACAAAACAAACCACTATTTTCCCTTCCGAACAGAATAACAACTAACCTGAAAGGTGATATTTTGATTATAGATACTTTATCAATGAGTGACCTTGGAAGGGTCATGTGTCTTGATAAAGGAAATGTCAAATGGAGTTATCGCGGATATCCTAACGTGAACGATGCACGTGGCGATAATAGCTTCAGTCCGTTCGATTTAGGTGTTACTCCAGCTGGAAATATAGTTGTGGCTGATACAATTAATAGCGCTTTGCATTTTTTATCGGAAGCTGGCATAATACTGAAATGTTTCTCAACATTGTCCGTGGATATTAAACTGCCATGTAGTTTGGATATCGATAGGGATGAAATGCTTTGGATAGGTTCTAATGGATACGAGGGTCAGCCGGGAAATGCCAAGATTCAGGTTCTGAAATATAGTGGCTGTTAGAATGGTATGCACAAACAGTTATGTTTCCATAATGCTTCCATTGATTTACTTAAAATATGGTTGCCATTTTGTGAGAGAGCATTAGTGATACCTTAGCTTGTTCTTGCAATACAAAAAATGTTCTGCTTGCAAGACGTTTGTGTGTATCTTAATTCATTTTAACATGTATGAAATAAGACCCTTGTAAAGTTATCTTAAATGTGTGCTATTAACTACAGTATGTATAGTTCTTACAAGTTCCATGTCCGTGTTACGAGCAAATTTTATGCTCGAAAACCAACGTTTTTATTCGACTGTCATACAAGTGAGATGTTTAGCTAGCTATAAAACCAGGTTTAATCCACCATTTTCTACTTAAGGAAATGCCTGTACCAAGTCAGGAATATTACAGTTGTTTTCCATTCGTTTGATGTGTTTGAGCTTTTGATTTTGCCATTTGATAAGGGACTTTCCATTTTTAATTTCCCTTCGAGTTCAGTATTTTTGTTATTTTACTTTTTATACGATTTAATAGATTTTCCCAGTATCGTGAAGATATTATTATGATTAACGGTGTCAATATAAAGCATAATTAACTTAAACATCCTTCCGATAAAAAAGGGAAGTATCACAACAAATATATATCATATAAGATATAAAGTTAAGTTTGTCATTATGTGCTAAAAGAGCAAACCTTGCATCATATCAATTTGGGTACAAGACAACTTCGCTCAAAGACAACTCGGACTGTCTGCAAAGAAGACAGCTCGTGTCGTCTATGAAGACAACTCGGACCGTCTTTCGAGACAACTTCGAACGTCTATATAGATGTTCCGGACCATATGAGTATTTGGAGAATTTTTTCAGGATTGATCATTCATTTTCATTTGTTGCTATGCACGCTCATTACTTTCTCACTTTTGTACACATTTGTACTCCTCAACTATTCTCCATTGTATATTGCAGAATATTCATTTTCATTATGTCTTGTGCAAAGTCATTTATTCCCCTCCCCCCGAAAAATCAATTGCTCCTCCCCTAGGCCTTATTTAAATACAGCTTTTAGTGATGTTTTCAATAATAATAAGTCCACTAGATGTAAAGTTTATACCTAAACACTTACAATTATGAACACATTCTTTAGTATCTTTTTCTTAAGGGAAATATTATTTTTTAAGTTAACCAGGTTTGTTAAAAATAACAACTTTGGTTTTTGATAGATTGACCTCTCAACACCTGTCCATTTAGTACAAAATTGGGATAAACCATCAAGTCGTTTTTGAAGACATGACTTGGAACTAGAAGAAATAACAATCTCGTTTGAATACATGAGGCAGTCAATTCTGTTGCCATTAATTAAATCAAATATCAAAAGCATCCGGAACTTCCTCAAATGCATCCGGTAAATCATTTATAAAGATCTTTAAAAGGTTGGGACTCAAAACACCAATTTGAGAATGAAAATTTGGAGTAAGCTCAAAAAGCTGCAATGTTTGCAGGAAGTTTGCAGAGCATTATTTCCAGTTTTCCTGCATACTTTTGTTTGCAGCAAACCTGTAGCAGGTCTGGTGCATATCTGCAGCAAACATTTCAGTTCTGTAAGGGGAATAACTTTGTCAAATGCTTTTTAAAAAATCGACTAAGCAAGCAAAACGATTCCGACCTTTCATACTTTTGTACTTATCAATTATGGTATTAATACAAAAATATGATCAGATGTCCTACTTTTACTGAAGATCTTCTTCTATCAATGTTGTCATTAAATCTGTTCTGGTATTTGAAACAAACATTAATAGAGTATAATACATTCAGAAAAATAATCTATTTGTAAGGGTATCTGAGTTGTGTTATATCTTTCATTTATTGTTTGGTAAAATGATAAAGATATGTATGATGAACGGTCAATTATACCATATATAAAAGGCCCTAGTAATTGGATGATTTGACTCCCGTAGCTTGTACATTCTGAAATGCATTTTTACTTTTGATGTGACGATAAAGAAGTTTCAAATATCTTTGTATATATATAATTAATTGAAATATAAATATGCGATTTAATATATTAGACTCCTGTCTTGCACTAAATATATGTTGTAGATAATGCCGCTATATATCTTTAATTGTAATCACTTAAAAATTATAATGAGCTATACATTTCTATTGATAATGATTTATGCATTTCTATTCATTCTTTTCAAGTGACAAAATTGCTTGAATAAAGTTATCTTAACATTATTTTATTGTAAAATTCATTTAATTGAAATTACAATGCCACTTTTATAATGTATTCATAGCTATTGATGAATTATAATTTTATTTAATGGGTACTCGAATATTAGATTTGTTCTTGGACATACGAGTTACTTGGATTACTTTTCAGTCTCATTTGACTTCAAAAATAAATGCAATACATCATTTTGTCAGTCGTTTTTTGTGCGTTCAGTAACAACTTGTCATGTATAGATTCGAGTAATTTCAGGAGGTATGGGTATTATTTGAGTCGCCTTATCAAAGAACTTAGAATTCACGGGATATCTTGAAATCCCACTTATACACTAACATCATTCATGTAAGAGTCGATTTAAGAAAAAAATCGCAAATTCGACCTTCGCTCCTAAAAGGACGATGAAGATTTCTCTTTTTTATACAGAATATCAAAACTTCACAAATATCCTTATGAAAACGATATATATACGTCTCGATTATAGTTATTCTGCAAAACATCTTGCTAAAATTCTTACCAATTTTCTTTCTACACTAAAAAAAACTTACGAACTCGGGTGATTCAGAAAAGTAAAATCTCTTCTGAAATAAAGTAGGAAGATACCAAGGGGACATTCAAACGAGAAACTATCAACGCCATGGCAACAAAATAAAACGTCGAAAAGACAAACAAGTCCGAAACCCGACGTGATGCCAGGTGCTCTATAAGAGACAGCAGCTTGATAAAATATGGCCTTTTAAAATATTTTGATAACTTCTACGCAACCAGCAGTGTCATTCAAATGTGGATTCTTACAGATCTACTCTAAAATCTTCAACTGCAACATTACAATTTTGTATTTTTGCATTTTTTTTTTACATAACTAAAGTTTGATTGGAATTAACAATTATTTATTTAACAAGACTTTAAAATGTCTCGTCTACTGCAATGTTAGATGCTAAAGTCAATGAACCCATAAACTGATTCAACACACTGGTAAAGTGCACTTTTTTTTTTGTATGAAGTTATCAATTCAAACACAATAATTTTCAAACTAATGTGTATAATCTCTTGGCTGCATGCTTAATCGAAAAATTTACATGACTACTGTTAATGATGGCCTGGTGGTTGCTTAACGTTCAGCGACAAATTCTACATGCATATTAAGGGATATAACATGTTAAAGTAAAACAAGTAAGAAAATATCGAATTTTAAACGTGGTTGCTCCCTAGGTTACAGTCCGCAGGAAAGCATGTTATCCTACTCGAAAATATTGTTCCGACCAGTCTGTTCTTGTCCAGAAATGCCGAGTGTTCGGCGGAGAGGCATGCAGCAAATACCAATAGGAATCGAACCAAGGACCTCCCGCAATCGAGAATACTATCTACAGCCCCCTCCCCCCCCCCCCCCCCCCCCTTTGTCGGTTCACCAGAGGGATCATGTATATACATATTTCATAAATATTTTTTTTGAGCTAATGAGGATCATGCTACATCCTAACAACTAACCCGATCACTGAAGAGGGAACTTGAGGTCAAGGCCATTCGGCATGACTTTTTGTGTCAAACGGAAATAAACCCTTGGCTAACAGTCCAATGGAATAGAAATCAACGCTAAATTCAAATATTACACGGATATGTACTTCTCGAAATCAATAGACGCATACTAAATATTGTACGAATTTACCTACAATGAAAGGTTACTAATTGACAAATATCATCCTGGTGATTAAGTGCGTGATATAGAGGTCAAGGTGATAATACATACGTTTCCGCCGCTCATTTCTTGTCTGTTATGATAGGTAAAAATGCATTTACACTAAGTTATAGTTATTCATGTTATTGAACAAACAAATAGGTTTATGTCATTTAATCTACACGGCTCGGGTGACCTTACTTGACCCGAACAACGTAGAAGTTCGGTTTAAAGGGTCATCCCGACCGTGCAGATTAAATGATATATACCGATTTGATTGGCCAATAACTGTTTGGAAATATGCGACGATTTATTCAATCCACGGCATCTGTGAAAGTTCTGTTGTATTGGTAAAGAGCCGTGCAGATTAAATGACATATATACCGATTTGCTTGTTTAATAACTATAACTTAATACACTTTTAAGTTTCCAGCGCATTCAATCTAAGTAAAATATAGTTCTCTGATTTCGTTATACTCATATGTACGAGCACACGAGTTAATATAGGTCTGAAATTTAATCAGATTGCAGCGCAATATAAAACATTCATACAAGCGGATGTTCCATGATCAAATAATCACACAATATAGCCGGGAATTTAACAAAAAATCAAATTAATTCAATGTTATTCCTGATCAGTTATTTATCGGATATTGTATCAAAGTATGGTCAAAAGTCAACCAAATAGACAGAAGTTAACGTGCATAATACATTGAGTGGGTTTGGAGTTGAAAATGAATACAAATAACAAAATGCAGGGCAATGCAAGTTATAGTTGTGCACCGTGTAACGAATAAAAATGAATTGTTGAACGGTCGCGAAATGAATAAGCCGTACTAGCAAAACTTAAAAATTAATATTTCATTCTGGAAAAAAATCCACCCCGGGCCCCCTCTTTTTTCCAGAAAATCTCATGGTCGCCCCTCCCCCTTTCCCTTTTCCAGATAATTACATGGTCGCCCCCTTAGGGTTAATATATGTGTGTTTATTCAAATAATATCATACGGGTCGGGCGGAAAATTTCTAGTTTGAAACAGACTGGATATTCACATGTATTTAAATTTTCTTGTGACCAAGAGGCTCACAATCGCTCACCAGGCACAAATAAGGCAATCTCATATTTATTTTTGCCTATTTACGAACACAATTGGGTGATACTATCATTAATCAGCTATTCAATGTCATTTCTTAAGGTAATTCTTCATATTAACTTACTATCTACGCTATTTTTTGAAGAATCCTTTTTTAATTCAATTATTATTATTTATGGACATGAGTATCTTATATTCAAATTTTGGCGTTCTCTTTTTGCGCCAAAAAATCATTTGAGCTACAACTCATTTGCGCCAATTTATTTGCTAAATTAAATGTATCTCATGTATTCTGACTTGGAACCTTTAAAGTAAAATCATTTAGTCCTATCATAAAAGATTAATTATAAATGCAAAGAAATTTCAAGTTAGTTTCACAACGATTACATTTGTATACCTGCTTTCTTTCATTTAATTCGATCTTCTGAATGAAAATGCTCATCTTTGAGTAACAATTAACCATGTTTGTTTTCATTCATTTTTTGTACAAATTATTTTTTGAACCATTTTCAGTAAAAAAAAGTCCAATTTGGCTATTGCATTGAAGATGAATTAATACTAACCGGGAAGATATGTTCATCTGTATTCGGATATCAGTTTTTTGTTTCATCTAAGTACCTTCAGGATTTTTTTATATTTCATTATTTAAGATATTTTCAATATTTCAACTATTACGATATATTTTACTATATAAATCAAGAGAACCAGATCTGGAGAACCTGAACAATAATAAGTAATACTTACCACAATTGCTGATACCAAAGGCTATTTACTATTGGAAATGTCAAAATCATGCTGGTAAAATAGTTTAATGTTGCAGGTTATTTTCTTGTTTTGGCGCGTAATATTCTTACTCCTATTGCTTGACGTAACAAAATTTGTATAGAATTAAATTTAACTATAGCTCAGCTAAAATAAAAGTTAATATGCAGAAGCATGACAAAATATTAATGATAAAATGTGTATTTATTTCTGTAAAAGATTAGAATTTTACTTTACCAGTATACTTCACCTAGAATTACATTTGAGCGCAAGAACATCTCTGTTTGTGAATCGGTTGAATCCACTGAGGGGTCGAAGTTCAACATATAAACGAAATGTTTTGTGTATCAACGGAAAATTAAGTGTTTGCTTTGCATCGAGGCTTGCGTTGCTTTACATCGAGGCCACAGCAGTTCAACCAATCGGGGAATGTTAAGTTGAGACATACCTCTATTTTTACTGCAGGTGTTGGCATATTTAAAACGAAATTATAGAAAGATGAAATGTTGTTAGTAGATACAAAACAGAAAATGATAAACACTTTTAGCAAAAGATGAATTGGATCGGGGTTCTGTGTATTCATATTATTTGTACACTTCTCCTTACTGTTGGCATGGATATAATGGCTATTATATCTATGATGTTGGGAAGCGTGTTCTTTACATCGAGGCTTGCGTTGCTTTACATCGAGGTCACAGTAGTTCAACCAATCGGGGAATGCTTATTTGGGGCATGTGACCTATTTTAACTGCAGGTTTTAGAATATTTTAATCGAAATTATAGAAAAATGGAATGTTGTTAGTGCATACAAAACAGAAAATGATGAATACTTTTAGCAAAAGATAAATTGGATCGGAGTTCTGTGTTTTCACATTATTTGTACAACTCTCCTTACTGATGCCATATTTTGGAATTTCTGTGACCTAAATGGTTCGCGAAAATTAATATTTTTATATATAGTATAGTAATCAAAACAATAGTTAGATGTCATTGTAAAAGATTTGTTTGCCTCAACTTTTATATATTATTGATATATTTTAAAAACTGCATCTAGTGACAAAAGGACAAAATGAGGACTTGTTCATGTTATTAACTAATTAAGAAGTTTCTATGACTTTAGAAAAAGTTTTTCTTACTCTCGTTGACTACAATTTCGATTATATTTTTAGTTATATAGCTTTAATAACAATCAAATCTTGAATTATATAGATGAAGATACACTGCTATTGGCTTAATTTCAGGTGTAATTTTGAATAACATGAAGTTATATGTAGTTTAAAAGTTAAACTACTGTGAAAGTCATATAAAATGAGTTTCTTGTAATCGTAATGATAAAGAAATTATTGAACCAATGCATGCATATATGCATATATACAAAACTATAAGTCATCTGTGTACGTTTTTTTTAACAATTTTAACGAATAATCGACCCTCAAATATTTCATTCGGTGATTTTTGTTCGAAAACTCTGGCTGCCAATTAAGCTTCGGCTTTTTAGTGCCAAAATTTACCGATCATGACCTTAACAATCAACACAGAATCATGGAGCACGTGAAAAATGAGTGTTTTGATAGAACGATGTTTAATTGTTGTTTTTTTATATATATTTTCAATGCGTTTTCATTTGAAGAATTTAACGTTCAACAGTTGTTAAATGGTTTGGTGTTTTATGTTTTTTTCTTTCAGAATCACATAACACTATCTAAATTCAATTTGTGTTAATCTTTTCTTTCATCACTAATTTTCCTCGCACTTGCGCTGTGTTGCTGTCGAAGTTCTAACGAGAGGTCTCGTGGTTAAAAGTCACTGCATTCGAAGAAGTTGTCGGCGAATTAGAGAACTGGGAGACAATAAATCGATAGCTGTACATTTATGAAGATTTGGATACGATAAAGGATTTCCTTTCAAAAGAAAGTCCATCTACACGTGTTTTATAGTAAAGCTTTGCCGTTCAAATATATAAAACATATTCAACTCTTTTTTTATTATTTGAAGTATCATTTGACTTTAATAGTGATCTCAATTTCCACTTGCCTTGTGTCGATCAATGGAGGGGACGAGACGACTCAGAACTGATTTCGGTTTCTCCTTTCATTTCCGGAATTGATTATTTATTAGAATTGCTTGTCAAAAATTGACAGATGACAACAGTAGTTTGGCTAATGTCGAATAACATGTATATGAAATAATGTATGGATTGGTAATACTTCTTAAATCATACCTTTGTTTTTCGGGCCCTTCTTTAGACCCCTCATCTTAGGAATATCCTGGTACCGTAAGAATTTATCTCCTAGCCGTGGCGTACATCATGCATGCTGTACGTCATTATTTTCTATAATTTTGTGATGTTATACGTTTAGATATATTTCGAAATTTCATGCATGCATGTGAAGGCAAATAGCCAAATACAAATGGTATGCAAATTTATAACGAATGACCAAACCCCTTGATGCAAAAGTATAAATGCACATATGCAAATTTACAATGTACTGAATCTGATGGAGGATCAGTTACCGTCACTTTGCATTTTCTGTAATAACAGACGTGTTGCATATATACGGCATACTACTATTAATTTCATAAAAATTGTTTTTTTATTTTTAAAAATTTGGTTTTGTTTGATCCAATCAACATGATCAAGACTAGGAAACCTTTAATTTTATATTCTTTAACCAATGGGAATATACACGTGTGGGGACATGATGTCATCACTTTATGACACCCTCGGTTTAAGAAAACTAACCATTTTCAGATAAAGTAATAGCAAAGCTTACTTTGGACATGAAATTTGCTTCAATGGAATAAAAAAGGTTTATTGAAATTTTTGAGTTAACTTCTGTGATCCCCTCAAAGGGAAGCAAGTTAACTCGTACCATTGTAAACTCGTACCACGTAAACTCGTACCAAATAAGTTAACTCGTACCAACGTAAACTCGTACCACTGGGAAGTCGTACCAATCAGAACTCGTACCACTGCAAACTCGTACCATTAAAAATATATTAAAAAATACGAATGTTTTATGATTTTGTTTTGGTATCACCAGCCCAGTAGTCAGCACTTCTGTGCTGACATGAATTATCATTGATATGGTCATATTTATAAATTAACTGTTTACAAAACTTTTGCAATTTTGAAATACTAAGGCTCAGGAATAGAATCACCTTAGCTGTATTTGGCAAAACTTTTAGGAATTTTGGTCCTCAATGCTCTTCAACTTCGTGCTTTATTTGGCTTTTTTAACTTGTTTGGATTCGAGCATCACTGATGAGTCTTTTGTAGACGAAACGCGCGTCTGGCGTAAATACAAAATTTAATCCTGGTATCTATGATGAGTTTATTTAAAACACAATAAATAAATTCTTTCGTTAAATAAAAATTCCTTTTAGAAACAAAAGAAAAATACACAAATCTATTCAATGATACTGATTTGGAATGATTAAAAATTAAATCAAATAGTTGTCAGTAAAAGTTTAAAAAAGAGTCTACTCAAGGGAGACAACAAAGCCAATCTGCCACGGTTTTCTCTATCCAATTAGACAAGGAAAATTAGCTACAAATTGGTCATTGTAATTTCAAATTATATACACTTTACAGATTTACGAGGTATTGAGGGAAATTAAAGTATATATTCATCATTAAACACCATTTGAATGCATTTAAATAAGTTGGTACGAGTTTACAATGGTATGAATTTACAGTGGTACGAGTTAGCAGTGGTACGAGTTTGCATTGGTACGAGTTTTTTTTTAGTGGTACGAGTTGACATTGGTACGAGTTTACAATGGTACGAGATAACTATAATTCCCCTCAAAGCTGTGTAACGTGTTGATTTTAGGTGACATCAATTTTAGATCCCTTCAGATTGAGCGAAAGTCCAAGAGATTCAGAATTTATGGTCAGAATATTAATGACAATATTGCTGGTTCATTTGACAAACCTTTATCTCATCTCTGTTTGTCTCAAACAATAAAATATGACAATGATTTTTATATCAATAGAACATTTCTATAATTTAGGAACTAGATTCATAATTGACGATAACTGGTCCTCGTATCCATAAATTTTAAGTGAAAATCAACTCACTAGTAACCCGCTTTTCGCTGTATATAAGAGGTCTATGGTCCTAGACCTAACTTCTGGTAACCCTATTCATGTTAAAAGAATATTTCCAAAACTATTTCCTGAATTTCGGACAGTAACTTGAACTGGCCATGGACTAGAATATTTTTTTAATGCAAAATATAAAAAAGCTTTTTTGTGTTTATACCTAAAACTTTAAAGTAGTGAGGATACATGTATATCATTTTTGACCCTTCTGTCTGGAAATGTTCTTGATTTCTAATGATCAATCAAATACTTTTTATTGAATTAATTAGTTGGATATATCGTCATTTATTCAAGGAAAAACTATTGATTTTGAGGTAACTAAAAATAGTTAATGCTATATTATAACTATATATATAGAACCTTACACAGGATTCAAACCAAACTCAAATATGTGAACATGATTATGAGTTCATTAAGTTCTGCTGGAGGTCATTAATTTTGTGTGCCCCTCAACCTTCTTTCTAGGGGGTTGGGGGCAGGAGGATTTTGTAATTTAATATTCTAGCCTGTCAAGGCCTAGTAATAACTGGAAAAAAAGACTTGCCCAAAACAGGATGAATATTTTGACCACTAAATAAAAATGAACAAGTAAAAAATTAATTTCCATTTAGCAATACTGAGCCAAAAAAATAAGGAAGATTCACAAAAGGGCAAGAAATTAATATTCCCTTAGCAAAGAAATCCTCCTCACCCCTCGAGCTCTCTCTGAATATTAAGTGGTTGTCCCTTTAAGGTGAATACATAGTTTTCACTGGCATCTAGGAAATCTTGTCTACGACTAAGGTCACAACATAGTGATTCTTCAGTATGTTGTCATGGCGTCACTGCCCCCTCAGTGTCATTGACATTTTAATCAACATGAATCTTTTGTTACTTTATTGTATTTGTATGTTTTGCTGATACCCAAGAATTAGTAATTGCTACTTTTAAAAAGGTGACAATAAACTTAAATTTAAGCCAAATTTTCAAGGTATTCTATTTTTTCTTCAGATATAGATGAAACGTGAAGTAAATTAGTTGACATGATAGAAGTAACAGCTTGTTTGCCAAGAGGATCTGTATACCTAGCGGGGGAAACTGTCAAAAGTCAGATAACTTTCAGTAACAACTCACAAAATCCAAGGTTTGTAGTATTTTACATTTATTACATCGGTTATAAGTTGTTTGCTTAACATCATGTGTCAAATATTTTATACATGTTAAGGACGATACTAAGATTGAAATGATTTTTCAAATTTCTAACCTATGTTAATGTCAAGTTAATCATGTTAATGTAGTTCCACACTCTTAGCACTGAAACTACCCCTTTTGCATTATAAGTTAGAGTAAATGTCATTTGGGTTCCAATGATGGGGCTGAAATTTTCAAATTTTGATTGTGGAAGTCATTGGTAAAAATCAGTAAATGCTATCAAAGTTCATTTCCCACACTTTTCAAGTATACAGAGGGGAGAACATTCAACATCATTTATCCAAAAATATGAACATTAAAATGTAGAATGCTAGAATCAGATCTTCAAAAGTAAGAAATTTTTAACCAAGTAGCATGTGTATTCGTGAAAAGAGTTCTTGATCTTATAAACTTGAACATAACATGTAAACAAATGATTTTGTAAATCAACACATTCCAGAGTACTATATATAAAAATATCCCAGCACAGCAAAAAAATAAAGGATTACAAATGTACTTTCATTGCTTCACAAGTGGAAATGTACATATACATATACCGGTAAATAGAATTACCTTTATTATAGGTTTTGTTGAATTCCCTAACATGCAACACCCACAAAGTAAATATTTTGTTTATTTATAGTGATACTGATAGTCTAGCCTGGTCTAGCGTACAGATAATATGTCAGTGTTCTGTCAGCGAATCAAGGGTACATCTTCCTAAGTCACAACAACTGTCAACAGAAGAAGTGTCTACTACGGGATGTGATACATCATTTGTACCTAATAAAGGTAAACTATATATAACTTTAATATCAATATAATTTTTTGTCTTGCCTTGACGAAGTCGCAGAGGTGATACTTAGGTGTTGTAGGGGCGGCAGCTTCAACAATTTGTTAAAAGTTGGTGAAAAGGTCAGTTTAAGGGAAACTACTTATGGTAAGTCAATGATATTTAGTCTGCAACTGTATTAACATTGGCATTTCTCATTTCTGGCCATGCGCCTTCAGTCATGGATTATTGACTTTGAAACTTTTGCATAGTTTACATGTTATAGTGTTGACATTTTTATTTTTCCAAATGATTTTTCTCAAATTTCTGCTTCAGTATTAAGAGGTGGGATGAACTGTTTTGTAAGCAGCCAAAGACCCCTTGACCATCATGACATTAGTACAAGGGTGAAATTATCTGATCTGGTAGCCACTAAGATCCTTTGACCACATTGACCTTAGTACATGTACCCAGTTGAAGTCAACTGATTGGTACTGGCAGCTACCCAGATTCTTTAAGCTTCACTTCTTTTAATAGACACATGTTGAAATGATCTGCTAAAAAAGATAGCTTTCCTGAACCTTTGACCATCATGACCAAATACCCGTTTGAAATTATCTGCTTTGGTATAACCCAAGACCCTTTTACAATCATGTTTCTAGTATCAGAATACATATTTACCTGCCCAATAAAGGCTGAAACAGAAATTCAATTATTCTTGTTTTAGAATAACAAATATGATTAGTCAGTAACCAATAAGTAAATATGTCCATAAAACAAAAAGAAGGACACAGCAATTTCAGAGTCTTTGGTTTATGTTTGCATTACCTACAAGATAATACTATTATTTGTGAAACTGAGCTGTATTTTATGATATCATTTTATAAAAATGTAATAAGTTTTTTGTACTTGGGATGTCTACACTATGCATGTACATGTATGCTTGGGATGTCTACACTATGCATGTACATGTATGCTTGGGATGTCTACATTCTGTGTGTTTTTATAGGTGAACGTGGACTTACAGTTTTATCAACAAAGCCTAGGATATTGTTCTGTGATCTAAAGCTTGCTGCTGGAGAATCAAAGTCATGTAAGATAAAACAAGCACAGCAATACTACATACAAATTGATACAATGTGCATTATATAGCTGATAACAAAACTAAAAGTTAAATAAAGATTTTGACTGTTTCAAAACATCTACCTGGACTACCCAGTATAAATTAAAAGTGATAAGGAGATTATATATCAATGAGACTGCATCCTTACAACAAGTATACAATGTCCATTTATACTGATATAAAGAGGGGATGTTCCTGTTTCAACTTTATGCAATAAATCACTGATTGGTTTTGAAGTTCTTCACTTTTTGTCAGTTATCTTCCAAAGAGTATATCTGGGCTGCTTATCAAGATGTGGCACCTAGTCTCTACCTGCCTATAAAGGACAGGTTGTAAAAGATATTGTTTTGCCAAAAATTGTATATGAAGATGTGATACCTGTCGAACCACCTGTCTATAATATAAAAGACTGACTTTAAAATAATATTTCATTTGATTATGCCCCCACTTTAAAAAAGTGGGGGTATACTGTTTTAACGCTGTCTGTCAATCCATCCATCAGTCCGTCCATCCATCCATCAGTCCGTCTATCCATCCGTCAGTCGGTCAGTCAGTCCATCCGTCCCATGAAAATTTTTCGTCACATCTTTCTCAGGAACTACAATACAAGGATTTCTGAAATTTGGTTTCAGGGTTTATATAAGTCAGCTATATCGTGTGATGCGTTTTCAGATTGATCACTCAACAACTTCCTGTTTACCGAACACTTACATCATTTTACACAACACATCCAAGTTGAAAATTTTCGTCGCATTTTTCTCAGGAACTACATTACAAGGATTTCTGAAATTTGGTTTCAGTGTTTATATAAGTCAGCTTTACCGTGTGATGCGTTTTCAGATTCATCTCTCAACAACTTCCTGTTTACCGTCAAATATTTGGGCTGGGGGTATCATCAGTGAGCAGTAGCTTGCAGTTTCACTTGTTTTTAGATGCATATGAAGATGTGATACCTGTAGACTCTCCACCATTTTATTTTTAGTTGGATATGAAGATGTGATACCTGTAGACTCTCCACCATTTTATTTTTAGTTGTATATGAAGATGTGATACCTGTAGACTCTCCACCATTTTATTTTTAGTTGTATATGAAGATGTGATACATGTAGACTCTATTTTTAGTTGTATATGAAGATGTGATACCTGTAGACTCTATTTTTAGTTGTATATGAAGATGTGATACCTGTAGACTCTATTTTTAGTTGTATATGAAGATGTGATACCTGTAAACTCTATTTTTAGTTGTATATGAAGATGTGATACCTGTAGACTCTCCACCTTCCTATAAAGGCCAGGCTGTGAAGTATTCTTACAAAGTAACAATTGGTGCACAGAAATTTAACCAGCCAACAAAACTTATCAGAATGCCATTTAGAGTTATGGTATTACACGGTAAAGAAAACATGTCTATTCTAAATTGGTTTATTTTTCGTGAGGTTTGAAATTTGCATTTTCTTTATTTCTATTTTTTTTATTTCTGATCAATCAAATTTACCCCAAAAGATATTTTCAAGATTTTATGTTAATGGAAAAAATATTGAAAATAAACACCTCATGAAAACATCTCACTTTATAGTAACATGTATTTGTAATATGTTTCGAAAAAATAAACATTAATGGTTAATAGTTACTTGGCATCTCCTTTATTTATACTTGTAAAGTAGGTTACATAGAAAAAATGGAGGAGCCTGACAATTACTTTACTTTTTTTTTCCAAAACCAAGTCTTTGATCATCTGCATTTGCAATATTAGCAAGGTACGATACTTCTTGAAGGCATAGAAAATGAGTAAGAAACACAACAATTCATGAATAAATAGATATTCACTGTGTTATATAACAACAGAAGATATTGGTAAGTTGTATTGTATATGTTCATAGCTAAAAACATAATACAAATTAATTAGGGCCATTAGGCGGGTCGCCCTATAGTGATCAGTGTCCGTCCGTCTGTAACAAATTGTGTACGCTCTATATCTAGAGAACCGTTATAATTTCATACTTTATACTTGACATGTATATTAACCAACACCAGGGGGGGGGTCATAATGTTTGAACAACTTCCTAGGTCAAAGTTCAAGGTCAAAAACTTTGGTTTCAGTTGACAACCTCATGTCCTACGGTAAAGATCCGTTATGATTTCAAAGTTTATACTTGACATGTATATTAACCAACACCAGAGGGTGTGTCATAATGTATGTACAACTTCCTAGGTCAAAGGTCAAGGTCAAAAACTTTGGTTTCAGTTGACAACCCCATGTCCTATGGTACAGATCATGTCTGCTCTATATCTTGAGAACCGTTATGATTTCAAAGTTTATACTTGACATGTATATTAACCAACACTAGAGGGTGTGTCATAATGTATGTACACCTTCCTAGGTCAAAGGCTGTCGTCTGTCTGTCAGTCTGTCCATTCCTAACAAATTGAGACTATGTAATAACTTAAAAAAGTGCTTCATATCAGCTTATCCATACAAATTTTTTACCACACGCTATTTACAGCGGGGCCCACAAAGATAGCTCCCATCTCAATGATGTCTAGTTACAACTATCTTGTATAAAAGAAATGTGTTAATATAGTTTGCCTTGAAATTAAAAATTATAAAATATCAAAATATTTATACATGATCATTAGATAATTTGACAGTAAATCATGTTATTTTGTATGATTTAGGTTTAAATGATATAAGTGTGTACACAGAGGGAGAAGAAGTATCACCTTCAAATCCATTCCTTAAACCTCAACAGTCCGAGAACTCTCTATTAGATATTGCCATGCAGGTTTTGTCAACAGTCACAGCAAGAAAGGCCCCACGTAAGTTTGATCATCATTATTAAAGATGTCTACTGAAAGGAGAAGAACAACAAGTAGAAGCTTTAAGTTGAAGGTAGTTGTGAAATGTATATGTTAACTTACAGTCTGTGGAGCTCTGGTGGCCAAAACGTGTCTGGTATTCCCTGTATTATCATGATATTGTACTGGCTTAATACATTATCACACCATGATTTTAAGAGAATAAGTTATTTTTATAGAGGTAACATCTAATTGATACTTCATAGTTGTACTGGATAAAAATACATTCTGTAAATGTGAAATGTAGTCACAGTCTTCAGACAAATTGTATAATGTAGATTTTGCTTTGCCTTTTGCTTTTGATTTGAATATAAACATGATAAAAGATGATTGCTAAATTCTACATGAATATTATACATATACTTCAGTTTCCCAAGATTTCTAGTACATGTTTCCATTTAATGAATTTTTTATAATTTTTTACTAAGATTTTTAGTGCATGTTTTTTTTATAAGCTTGTTTCAACTTGTTTTATTTCAGATTCATACAATATTACAAATGCCAAAGGAAAAGTAGCCAAGTTTATTCTATTTAAACAGGCCTATAAATTAGGTGAAGATATTGTAGGTGTGTTCAACTTCACGGATGGAACAGTACCATGTGTCCAGGTTGGTATTAACCAAAGATCTAGAAACAATTCAATTTGTCCTGGTTATGACAGATTCAAAATATAAATGACAGAAATGAAATTCCTTAAATTTGGTCAGATGCTATGAAAATTTATTAAGATTGGACATTTTCCAAAAAACTTTCATCTGGCGCACCAAATATTAAACTTAGAATCTTTGTTGAGATTTTGTCAGAAATTGACATTTTTGGTCACCAGTAACTAGATCCTGTTTGCTATGCATTTGGAGTAATGGAACTGTAACTCATAATTAAATGTCCCCAGAGAAAATCAGGCTAATAATCTCTAATATTTTTTACCTGTGTTCACTCTTCAAATTAGTTATGCAGAAAAAAGAAATGTTCACAAGTGAAACATGTGCTTTTATTTGCTTTGCCATACACCAGTGTGCCCCCTGGACAAGTACATGATTAGATGCCATACGCCAGTGTGCCCCCTGGACAAGTCCATGATTAGATGCCATACGCCAGTGTTCCCCCTGGACAAGTACATGATTAGATGTTTATGTCTTTACTTCTGGTTTGAGTTTGACAGTTTGTAAAAATAGAACAGGACGTTCATGTCCTTAAAGTACCTGACTTGTGTGTAAAAAAAGTATTGGTATTAAAACATTATAAAACTGAAAAATTTACATAAATATTTTAATATCAGGAAATACAATTATTGTTTTTTTCAAAAGCAAGAGTACAGATAAATGTATGTATACTGCCAAGATTGAGAGCATGACTTATTGTCAAAACACTGGACTATTACAGAAGACCATATGTTGACTATTACAGAAGACCTTATGTTGACTATTATAGAAGACCTGATGTTGACTATTACAGAAGACCTCATGTTGACTATTACAGAAGACCTTATGTTGACTATTAAAGAAGACCTTATGTTGACTATTACAGAAGACCTGATGTTGACTATTACAGAAGACCTTATCTGCTTATGTTGACTATTACAGAAGACCTTATGTTGACTATTACAGAAGACCTGATGTTGACTATTACAGAAGACCTTATCGGCTTATGTTGACTATTACAGAGGACCTTATGTTGACTATTACAGAAGACCATATGTTGACTATTACAGAAGACCTTATCGGCTGATGTTGACTATTACAGAAGACCTTATGTTGACTATTACAGAAGACCTTATGTTGACTATTACAGAAGACCTTATCGGCTTATGTTGACTATTACAGAAGACCTTATGTTGACTATTACAGAAGAATTGATGTTGACTATTACAGAAGACCTTATCGATTTATGTTGACTATTACAGAAGACCTTATGTTGACTATTACAGAAGACCTGATGTTGACTATTACAGAAGACCATATGTTGACTATTACAGAAGACCTGATGTTGTCTATTACAGAAGACCTGATGTTGACTATTACAGAAGACCTGATGTTGACTATTACAGAAGACCTTATGTTGACTATTACAGAAGACCTGATGTTGACTATTACAGAAGACCTGATGTTGACTATTACAGAAGACCTTATCGGCTTATGTTGACTATTACAGAAGACCTTATGTTGACTATTACAGAAGACCTTATGTTGACTATTACAGAAGACCTGATGTTGACTATTACAGAAGACCTGATGTTGACTATTACAGAAGACCTTATCGACTTATGTTGACTATTACAGAAGACCTTATGTTGACTATTACAGAAGACCATATGTTGACTATTACAGAAGACCTTATGTTGACTATTACAGAAGACCTGATGTTGACTATTACAGAAGACCATCTGTTGACTATTACAGAAGACCTGATGTTGACTATTACAGAAGACCTTATCTGCTTATGTTGACTATTACAGAATACCTTATGTTGACTATTACAGAAGACCATATGTTGACTATTACAGAAGACCTGATGTTGACTATTACAGAAGACCATATGTTGACTATTATAGAAGACCTGATGTTGACTATTACAGAAGACCATATGTTGACTATTACAGAAGACCTAAAATATGTTGACTATTACAGAAGACCTGATGTTGACTATTACAGAAGACCTTATGTTGACTATTACAGAAGACCTTATGTTGACTATTACAGAAGACCTTATGTTGACTATTACAGAAGACCTTATGTTGATCTCTTGGACTATAACAGAAGACCTTATGTTGATCTCTTGGACTATTACAGAAGACCTTATGTTGACTATTACAGAAGAACTTATGTTGATCTCTTGTATAATTTAAAATCTAATATGATGTTTTTCAAACACTTTTAGTACACACCCATGGTAAAATATGAATATATATTGATATGTAAGCTGATAGTTTACGTCATGGATTGTTTGCTGTTCCAATCTTACTCCCACCTCGTTTGCCTTTATAAATTGAGTTACCCAAGGTCAGACTGTGTAAATAATGTCATTGTACGATGATGTAAGAATATAAGCATTCTCCGGGAAAATGCACAAATGTGAAACTGAAAGTCTTCAAAACATGAAAAAACAAATGATGATAAGAATTTGTTGAAAGCCCATTTTCTTAAATAAAAGTAAGATAAACAATTAACTTCATCCAAACCTGTCGTAGTATGTTATTGTAAATCTTTTCAGCATCTCACTAATTCAGTTTTCTTCGTGTTTTACGTCAATATAGACAGTGGGTTAAATTATGGGAACAGCAAATATTTCCCTTCATCTAGAGCGCTTCGATCCAAAAGAGTTGCTGTCTTTGTCCTATTAGAATAGAAATAATTCATGTGGTCTTGAATTTATATTGATTTTACCACAGGTTGGCCTTTATGCTGATATTTTACCCCTTGCTATCGCTTGTGGTAAAATATTTAGTATAAAGGGCCAACACGTGGTAAAATCACGATAAATTCAAGCTCCCATTAATTTTTTCTTAATTATATTTTTGTTGGTTAGTTGTCTTGTGCTGTGTACCCCAGATCTCTTTTAATTCATACCATGAATCTATTTCAACTGAATAATAGACTGCCACAACATTACCATTTTTATACCCCCGCAATAGTCAATGGGGGCCTTAAGTGTTACCCTTGACCGTCTTTCGTCCTTCCATCTGTGTTTCTTTCCGTCCGCCCTTCCGTTTGTCCCATTTTCGTTTCCATACTCTAACTTAAGTTTTTGTATCCAAATTTTATGAAACTCATACACAATGCTAAGAACCACAACACGCAGACACCTACTATTTTAATATTTGATTGGTTTAATATTAGGGTTTTCTATACCAAAACATGAACTCCTTTGTTTCTGCATATACTATTTGGAGACAACAAACATCTTAAGAAGCTCCTTGGAAAACTCAACCATTTTCTACTTTAATTTTCAGTTTTCTGTAACATTACAAAGTGAGGAGCAAATCTCGGAAGAATGTAGAAAGAAACCTGGTCAAGGAACATCTGTGACATCTTATGTCAAACATCAGGAAATGTGCCTTCATACAGCTAAAACTCATGTTAATATACCAATACCACTCACAGCTACACCGTGCTTCATTACAGATATAGGTAAGATACAGCTAAAACTCATGTTAATATACCAATATCACTCACAGCTACACCGTGCTTCATAACAAATATAAGTAAATGTAAGATACAGCTAAAACTCATGTTAATATACCAATACCACTCACAGCTACACAGTGCTTCATAACAGATATTGGTAAGATACAGCTAAAACTCATGTTAATATACCAATATCACTCACAGCTACACTGTGCTTCATAACAGATATAGGTAAGATACAGCTAAAACTCATGTTAATATACCAATATCACTCACAGCTACACCGTGCTTCATAACAGATATAAGTAAGATACAGCTAAAACTCATGTTAATATACCAATATCACTCACAGCTACCCCATGCTTCATAACAGATATAGGTAAGATACAGCTAAAACTCATGTTAATATACCAATATCACTCACAGCTACACTGTGCTTCATAACAGATATAGGTAAGATACAGCTAAAACTCATGTTAATATACCAATATCACTCACAGCTACCCCATGCTTTATAACAGATATAGGTAAAATACAGCTAAAACTCATGTTAATATACCAATACCACTCACAGCTACCCCATGCTTCATAACAGATATAGGTAAGATACAGCTAAAACTCACATCAAAAACCAATACTGCTTACAGCTAGGCCATGCCAACGACAAATGTAAAACAATTTAAATGAGAAAACTAATGACCTGATTTATGTCTAAAAACAATAAACGAAAAACAAATATGATATATAGCAACTACAACTACTGAAATACATGCTCCTGACTTGGGACAAGCACATGGATGTGGCGGGGTAACATGTTTGTGGGCGCCCAACCCTCCCCAACACTGGACAGTGGTGTAACAGCACAACATAAGACTGAACTATAAAAATCAGCTTAACTCATCAGATCAATACAAAGGAGGAGTTTGTGCCCTTAAAGAATTTTTTTCTCTCATTTTTATACGACCGCAAAAAATTTTGCAGTCGTATATTGGTATGACGTTGGCGTCGTTGTCGTCGTCAGCGTCATCGTCGTCGTTCGAGGACACATTGGTTTTCGCACTCTAACTTTAGTTTAAGTGAATGGATCTCTATGAAAATTTACCATAAGGTTCAATACCACAAAAGAAAGGTGGGGATTGATTTTGGGGGTTATGGTACCAACAGTTAAGGAATTAAGCATTTTTGTAACTTTCATGCATAACTTGTGTGTTAGTGTATGGATCTCTCTGACATTGTACCACAAGGTTCCATATCACATTGGGAATGCTGGGATTGATTTTGGGGGTTTTTGCCTCAAAATTTTAGGAATTAGGGGCAAAAAAAGGGGCAAAAAACAAGCATTTTTCTAGTTTCAAGACAATAATTTGTGTGTAAGTGTATGGATCTTTCTGAAATTGTACTACAAGGTTCCATATCACAAAGGGAAAGCTGGAATTGAGTTTGGGGGTAATTGCCCAAAACGTTTAGGAATAAGGGGCCAAAAAGGGGCCAAAAGTAAGCATTTTTCTTGTTTCCAGACAATAACTTGTGTTCAAGTGTATGGATCTCTCTGAAATTGTATTGCAAGGTACCATACCACAAACAGAAGGCTGGGATGGATTTTGGGGGTAATTGCCCTAAACGTATAGGAATAAGGGACCAAAAAAGGGCCAAAAATAAGCATTTTTCAAGTTTCCAGACAATAACTTGTGTTCAAGTGTATGGATCTCTCTGAAATTTTACTGCAAGGTACCCTACCACAAAGGGAAGCCTGGGATTTATTTTGGGGGTAATTGCCTCAAAATTTTAGGAATTAGGGGCCAAAAAGGGGCAAAAACAAGCATTTTTCTAGTTTCAGGACAATAACTTGTGTGTAAGTGTATGGATCTTTATGAAATTGTGCTACAAGGTTCCATATCACAAAGGGAAAGCTGGGTTTGAGTTTGGGGGTAATTGCCCTAAATGTTTAGGAATTTGGGGCCAAAAAACAAGCATTTTTCTAGTTTCCAGACAATAACTTGTGTCCAAGAGTATGGATCTCTCTGAAATTGTATTGCAAGATACCATACCACAAAGGGAAGGCTGGGATTGAGTATGGGGTGATGAATCATAAGGGGGTTCAAAAAATTGGGAGGGGGGTGATTTTTTTTTCCTTTTTTTCCTTTTTTAGCTCACCTGGCCCTTCGGGCCAAGTGAGCTTTTCTCATCACTAGGCATCCGTCGTCCGTCGTCCGTCGTCGGCGTTAACTTTTTCCATTTTGAACTTCTTCTAGAGAACCACTGAATGGAATGAAACCAAACATGGCATGAATGTTCCTTATGAGGTGCTGTCCGAGTGTTGTTACTTTGAAGCTGATCTATAATCCAAGATGGCCGCCAGTGGGGGACTTAGTTTAACATAGGACCCTATGGGAAATACATACAAATGTCTTCTTTTAGAGAACCACTGAAATTAATGAAACCAAACATGGCATGAATGTTTCTTATGAGGTGCTGACCGAGTGTTGTTACTTTGAAGCCGATCCATAATCCAAGATGGCCGCCAGCGGGGGACTTAGTTTAACATAGGACCCTATGGGAAATACATACAAATGTCTTCTTTGTGAGAACCACTGAATGGAATGAAACCAAACATGGTATGAATGTTTCTTATGAGGTGCTGACCGAGTGTTGTTACTTTGAAGCCTATCCATAATCCAAGATGGCCGCCAGCGGGGGACTTAGTTTAACATGGGACCCTATGGGAAATACATACAAATGTCTTCTTTTAGAGAACCACTGAATGGAATGAAACCAAACATGGCATGAATGTTCCTTATGAGGTGCTGACAAGTGTTGTTACTATGAAGCTGATCCATAATCCAAGATGGTCGCCAGCAGGGGACTTAGTTTAACATAGGACCCTATGGGAAATACATACAAATGTCTTCTATTAGAGAACCACTGAATGGAATGAAACCAAACATGGCATGAATGTTCCTTATGAGGTGCTGACCGAGTGTTGTTACTTTGAAGCTGATCCATAATCCAAGATGGCCGCCAGCGGGGGACTTAGTTTAACATGGGACCCTATGGGAAATACATACAAACGTCTTCTTTTAGAGAACCACTGAATGGAATGAAACCAAACATGGCAAGAATGTTCCTTATGAGGTGCTGACCAAGTGTTGTTACTTTGAAGCTGATCCATCATCCAAGATGGCAGCCAGCGGGGGACTTAGTTTAACATAGGACCCTATGGGAAATACATGTACATACAAATGTCTTCTTTTAGAGAACAACTGAATGCAATGAAACCAAACATGGCATGAATGTTCCTTATGAGGTGCTGACCAAGTGTTGTTACTATGAAGCCGATCCATAATCTAAGATGGCCGCCAGGGGAGGACTTGGTTTAACATAGGACCCTATGAGAAATACGTACAAATGTTTTCTTTTAGAGAACCATTGAATGGAATGAAACCAAACATGGCATGCATGTTCCTTTTGAGGTGCTGACCAAGTGTTGTTACTTTGAAGCTGATCCTTCATCCATGATGGCTGCCACATGGGGACAATGTTCAACAAAGGACCCTATGGACAATACATACAAATGTCTTCTTTTAGAGAACCACATACTGAATGGATTGAAACCAAACATGGCATGAATGTTCCTTATGAGGTGCTGACTAAGTTTTGTTACTTTGAAGCTGATCCTTCATCCATGATGGCCGCCAATGGGGGGACTTCCTTTAACATAAGACCCTATGGGAAATACATACAAATGCTTCTTCTAGAGGTGCACTGAATGGAATGAAACCAAAACATGGCATAAATGTTTCTTATGAGGTGCTGATTAAGTGTTGCTACTTTGTTGCCGATTTACTGTTCAAGATGGCCACCAGGATTTTTTATTATATTACAGGACCAATATTAAACCAAATTTGGCCTCACTCATTATTAGGGTATCTGTTATGATTTTAATCTATTTTTACATGATTTCCAAAACCAAAGTAGAATCAGGTGAGCGACACAGGCTCTTGAGAGCCTCTAGTTTTCTTTAAAATTTTCCATTTTAAATTGGTTATTTCTGATTTATATATAAAAGCAAATAATAATGATATGGTTTCAATAGGTAAATTAAAAAATTTTAAGTTCTTAGACCACATTCATTCTGTGTCAGAAACCTATGCTGTGTCAAATATTTAATCACAATCCAAATTCAGTGCTGTATCAAGCTTGAATGTTGTGTCCATACTTGCCCCAACTGTTCAGGGTTCGACCTCTGCGGTCGTATCAAGCTGGGCCCAGTGGAGCATTTTATTTTTGCCTTTTTGCCTATTATCTTGAAAACTATAGAAAGATAGAAATTATAGAAAGCAAATATGATCTGCAAGACAAGATCTATAAATAGCTCAGCATAGATGAAATTGTCAGTTGTCAGTTATCAATTCAAATTTACTCAGACATCAGTAGATGAAGCATCATCAAAACTTTCAAACATCTTTTTATCAGCAGCAAATCTATCACTTAAACAACTTTTAAAAAAACACACAAACAAACAAAACAACAAAAAGTGGTTTGACGCAAGTTTACAACAAGCTCGAACTAACTTGCTTAATTATGGAAAAATTTATTCAAGATTTCCATATGATCCAATTATCAAAAATCACTTTTATAAACTGAATCGTGAATAATCCAAACTAAGGAAATATAAATACAAACAATACAAACAATCATTGATTAGTCAGCTGGACTTTTTGCACGAAGAGAATCCAAAACTGTATTGGAACTTAATTAATGAACTACATGAAAAAAATGAAACACAAAAAAAATGTGGAGTACAACCATCAACTTTGATGTCACATTTCCAAAAGTTGTCACAACTGAAAGGTGAATTTCAAAGTAGATATACAGAGCTATGTGAAAAACTGAAACAGTTAGAAAACTCAAAATGTTTCAACGAGTTGGACTCCGTTATCACTGAGTCTGAAATATCCAAAGCCATTTCACACTTAAAATGCAATAAATCATCAGGCTTGGATAACATTAGTAATAATATGATAAAGAATGGACAGACTTTCCTTTTAAAAAGTTTTCAACAGATGTTTAATACTTGTCTGTCTTCAGGTATATACCCAACATCTTGGGCTGAAGGTTATATTACACCAACTTTTAAAAGCAATGATACAAGTGACCCTAACAATTATAGAGGAATAACAATAAGTGCAATTGGAAAGCTTTTTAATAGAATATTAAGTCTAAGACTGGACAAATTTCTTCAGGAACATAATATTATACATGATAGTCAAATTGGATTCACAAGGAAAGCCAGAACTGCAGATCATATGTTTATTTTAAACTGTCTTATTAACAAATACTGTAATTCAAAAGAAGGTAGACTGTTTGCCTGTTTTGTTGATTTTCAGAAGGCTTTTGATACTGTTATATATACAGGGATCAAGATTAAACTACTAGATATTGGGGTTGGGTCTTATTTTTATAACATTATTAAAAGTATGTATGAAATTAGCAAATCATGTGTCAAAATTCAAAATCAAGTAAGTGATTTTTTCCCATTAGATATTGGAGTCAAACAAGGTGACAACCTCAGTCCGGATTTATTCAAGATATTCATAAATGATTTGCCCAGATATTTGTCAGATACTAGAGACCCAGTTAATGTCATTGACAAAGATCTACATTGTTTAATGTATGCTGATGATATTGTTTTATTATCTACATCAGCAGAAGGACTACGAGAAAAGCTGGGAATGCTTGATAAATTTTGCAAAGATTGGTGTCTCAATGTGAATACTAATAAGACAAAGGTGCTGATTTTCAACAAGGCAGGCAGACATGTAAAACAGATATTCACATTTCAGAATATAAATCTGGAATGTGTTTCAAAATACAAATACCTAGGTTTATATTTAAGCTCATCTGGTTCATTCAGTTATGCTCAAAATGAACTATACAAAAAATCCCTGAAAGCTCATTTCAAATTAAGGAAAGATCTTTTATCACTTAATCCTGATGTAAAAACAAGTATTCATGTTTTTGACCACACTGTAAAACCTATTTTATTATATGGTAGCGAAATATGGGGGATGTTTAATTCTCTTTCCTCTAAATGTAAGAAGGAAGATATATCTTTTGAAAAATTATATTCAGGTTTACCCTGTGAGAAACTTCATATAAAATTTTGTAAATTTATACTTGGGGTACACAAGAAAACAACAAATGCTGCAGTGTTATCTGAACTTGGAAGATTTCCAATATATTTTAATATTATAAAAGGAATGTTATTGTACTGGTATAGATTAGAGAATTTAGGTAATAATTTTCCTCTATTAAAAGAGGCATATACACAATCAAAGACACTACATCACATGAATATAACATCATGGTATGGTTCAATAAATGTTGTTTTTAAAATACTTGGTATTGACTATACAAATGCCATAAATGCTCCATTTTGTGAATCCTTATACAAATTTAAGAAATATATACAAACCAAGCTATCAATATTGTTTATTAGCTGTTGGAAAAAACAAATAGATAAATTTTCAGACAGTAAACTGAAAACCTACCTTTTATATAAAACAAATTTTGGTTTTGAAAAATATCTAACATTGATCAAGAATTTTGAACTTAGAAGAAGTTTTACTAAATTACGTGTATCTTCTCATAGATTACAAATAGAATTAGGTAGATATCAGGGTATTCACCGAATTAACAGAATATGTAATAAATGTTCTTCCAATACTGTCGAAGATGAGGCTCATTTTCTATTTGATTGTAACAAATTTGAGAATGATATAAATTGTATGTTAGCTAGTATTGCAAAATATAATTCTTATTTTAATCATATGAGCAGTCAAAGCAAAATTATCTGGTTATTTAGTGTAGAAAATGTTGAATTACTTAAAATAATATGTAATTTTATATACAAACATCTTCCTTAGTGAAGATTAGTTAAAGGAAATCTATGTGTGTATATACATTTGATTGGACATAGAAAATTATATTCATCTGAATATCACAAACATACTAGCCGATTAAAAAAAAAATAATAATGGTTAGAATATATTATTTATTCAAATGTTCTCTTATATCCTTGAGGCATCGTATCTACTGCATTCAAGTTACCTATGATGCTTCCTTATTTGCTTTTGATACAGGTAGGAAAGAGACATTTACACACATTTTACATGCCTATGGCCCATAAGGTATCGCCCCCTGGTGTCAGCTGCCTTTAGGAAACCATAATGCTTTCCTATTTGCTGCTGACACAGGATGAGTCATGGACATGCTTAATTTCTACTTTCTTTTTGGCTAATTATTATATGTTTAATTGATCCAACTTTTTGTGTACTATACATATATGGATATCTATTTTTCTTTTTTTCTTTTTGGGCTGCTTGTTTGTTATCTATATCAACCACACTTGCAATAAAATGCATTAGTATTAAAAAAAAAAAAACATACTATAGATTCTTTATCTACGTATTCTTTAAGAACTTAAATAGTTCTCGTTTAACTTTCTTTTTTTTTTTTATCTCATTGTTTGTATTGTATTATGAAAAATTATTGATGTTGTAATGTTTATGCCCTTTGGGGCCCATAATTGGAAATAAAAAATATCTTATCTTATAGTTCTCGAGTTTTTGCCCTTAAATGATGATTTTTTTTACCTTTTTTGTATTTTGGGCAAAAACTATAGAAGATATAGAGAAACTGTAAACAGAAAAAATGGTCACCAATACAAGTTCAACAACAATGAGATTTTAGTTATGAATTATATTCTAGTCTACAATGTTTTAGTTGTGAATAATATTCTAGTCTACAATGTTGGAGAGCGTCCATTTCTGAAAATGCACATAGAGCTAATAACACTTAAGCTTGTCAAAATATTGCCTTTGTGTTTGTTTTTGATAACATTTTATGTTACTTTTTACAGTTTGTTTGAGATGGAGACTACATTTTGAGTTTGTGACTTCAAGTGACCCAATTCCTGAATCAGAAAGACCTACAAATATGGATGATTCAGCAAGCTGGAGAGGACCTGCTACTATTAATGTAGAAACAATGGTGTGGGACTTGCCAATTAAAATTTATCCCACAAGTCCAATACATGCATCATGTGTAACAATGTTAAAATCTGGTTCATGTGTACAAATATAATTTATATATGTATAAATTATGTTACATTTTCAAAAGATTCATTTAGTAGAAAATATTTCAATACAAGCATTTTGCCATAATGTATTCAGTGAAAAAAGAAATATGATTATATGTACAGTATGATATAAAAAGAACAATATTTGTCTTTGCAAGAAATTATAATATATATGTACAGTCAAATACATATCAGTACATCTTTCATTTGTATTGTTACATCTAGGGAAAGGGGACATGAGTTGGATGGACATATGTATAAACATGATGAACTTTACTGTCATGCAATACGAAATTTTAGATGTATGTGGATGTTATGTGTTTGAACACTTAATACACATGTGCTTTTTAAGACAGAAGTTGTATTTAACTATTAAAGGTTGTTTGCTACACATTTTCAACTCAAAATGGTTTTTTTACTAGGCAATACATTAATATTTAAAAACAGCAGCCCCTATATTTCCCCAATATTCATTTTAAAACAGACATCTCAAATGCATTGACAAGATATTCTCAAAGGAGTACCTATTCTTGGCCTTCATTCCTATCTACATTAAATTTTTCACTTCCAAACATTTTATGGAGAATGGGATCAATATACCGTTTTTTATACACCAGACCGTACTGGTTACCGGAACTTTAGATACACCAAACCAGGTACTTTATATCTGAGAAACAGGCAATATATGCCCTCAATTTTAGAATCATACATTTTTGTATTATTCAAAATTATCAGTCAATATATATGTGTTCTACAAGGATCACCAGTCCTTCACCTTTCATTTGATTCCTTAACTAAAATATATTTTACATAGTTTTATATTTACACCTATACGTAGGAACTATTTTGTTTTAAATATGTACTACTTTCCATACATCTTACAAAGTCTATCTGATCATTTTGCAACAAATAGTGCTTAAACTGGTGCTAGGAGCCATCTTAAACTTGCAGTGAGGTGAGTTTTCCTTTTGCTCCATGTTTGAGGCCTCACTGTGACTTTGAGAGGAAAACAGCAATAAAAGTGCTGTTCCTTTGCTTTTTATGTGTTTTTTGCTGTGCATATACTGATTTTTTGTGTCATGGATTGATACCCTATGTCCTTTGTTTTTCTATTAGAGCCAGTAACCCCAATATACAGCCATGTGTATGTGTATGTATTGCTTAATGTATTATTTTTTAAACGACTTCACATTTATAAATATATTAGCCTTAAATAGAAAAAGATTTCATTTTATGCCATTCTTTGTCACTTTTATTTTTTACCTTTGTCATGATTTGATATGTGAAGCCACCCTTTGCCCATTAAAGTGTTGGTTGAAAAGTAAAGAATAAGGTATACAAAGAATATTTCACCAAAAACATTTGTGGGGGAGGTGATCAACATTAATTTTTTTAATTTTATATCTTGTAAATTGTAAGCAAAGGGTAAACTATATTTGGTGTAAGGTGTACATTTCCATCTGGCAGGGTTCATCTTGCCTTGACCTCATTTTCATGGTTGAATCCATATTTCAGTTATTATTAGAGGTATGTGAACTATGTTTGGTGTATTGAATGATTAAAAGGTTTACATGTCAGTTTCATCTGACCTTGACCTCATTTTCATGGTTCAGTTTTCATGGTTAGGTTTGTTTCTCAAGATACTATATTTGGTGTATGGAATGATTGTAAAGTGTACAAGTCTGTCTGGCAAGGTGCATCTGACCTTGACCTTATTTACAGAGTTCATGGATAATGTTAAGTTTGTGTGATACTTGCAGTGAAAATCTTTTGTCTTAAAAACTCTCAACATAAATTCAATCATGATCAGTAAAGCAAGCGAGACATTTCAGCATGTGTACTCTTCCTTTGTTTAGTGTAACATTTATTTCTTACCATAAATTTTATATAAAGATTAGTCCAGAGGTAATCTCTTCCTGCTTTACAAATGCCTTTATTTTGCATACATGGAGCCATCTTCAATTCATATGTAATATTGATGTATTATACATAGTCTATTGATACAAATTTCCTTTGTTAAATTATTGTTATTTTTAATTTAAGAAGAGAAATTCATTAAATGTTCTATTGATATTAATTCTTTAAATAAAATATTTACAATATGCTTTTATTTTCTCTTAGTATAGAATTCTTAATATCTCAAGACTCAAGCACAGAATGTAATTTGTAAACAACGTAATCTATATATATATATATATATATATAAGAAGTTTGATTCAACTGTTATACCCAATTATCCGTAGAAAGACTGATTGATTACGCTGCCTCAGCACAAAAAATCTGTAGAAAGAAAGAAAGCTCTCATTCCCTTACATATTCACTTCTAAAGTAAGAGGTATACTATTATGTATTTTGGATATTTTTCCCTAAATTTACTTTCATATGAATTGTGTATTTCCTTTCTTTGGTTTAATGATGTCAAAATAGCTTAAACTAATTATAGTTATGTATTCAAATCATATCTGTAGCTTAGTTTAGTACTCATATGATTGTACTCTCAGAAATAACAGATGAAGTTCTTTAGTTTTCATTTACAGTTTAGAGACTTGTGTTGTTTCTTCTTATTGAAACTTAATCCAACATTTCATTTAAAATATAAAAAAAAGGAGATGTGGTATGATTGCCAATGAGACTAATAAGGAGATGTGGTATGATTGCCAATGAGACTAATAAGGAGATGTGGTATGATTGCCAATGAGAGTAAATAATAAGGAGATGTGGTATGATTGCCAATGAGACTCACTCATAAGGAGATATGGTATGATTGCCAATGAGAGTAACTAATAAGGAGATGTGGTATGATTGCCAATGAGACTAACTAATAAGGAGATGTGGTATGATTGCCAATGAGACTCACTCATAAGGAGATGTGGTATGATTGCCAATGAGACTCACTCATAAGGAGATGTGGTATGATTGCCAATGAGACGAATATGATTGCCAATGGGACTAACTAATAAGGAGATATGGTATGATTGCCAATGGGACTAACTAATAAGGAGATATGGTATGATTGCCAATGAGACTAACTCATAAAAGATGTGGTATGATTGCCAATGGGACTAACTAATAAGGAGATGGGGTATGATTGCCAATGGGACTAACTAATAAGGAGATGTGGTATGATTGCCAATGAGACTAACTCATAAGGAGATGTGGTATGATTGCCAATGAGACTAACTCATAAGGAGATGTGGTATGATTGCCAATGGGACTAACTAATAAGGAGATGTGGTATGATTGACAATGGGACTACTGTGGATTCATTAATTTTCGTGGGTACCAATTTTCGTGGTTTGAGGAAAACATGCATATTCGTGGATATATAATTTCGTGGTTTTGGCAAAGTCTGCATTCGTTCCTTTAGAAATTTTGTAATTCGTTGAATATTTAAATTCGTGGTTCTTTTGTATCCACGAAATCCACGAAAATTGGTATCCAACGAATATTAATGAATCCACAGTAACTAATAAGGAGATATGGTATGATTGCCAATGAGACTAACTCATAAGGAGATGTGGTATGATTGCCAATGGGACTAACTAATAAGGAGATGTGGTATGATTGCCAATGGGAAGAACTAATAAGGAGATGTGGTATGATTGCCAATGAGACTCACTAATAAGGAGATGTGGTATGATTGCCAATGGGACTAACTAATAAGGAGATGTGGTATGATTGCCAATGGGACTAACTAATAAGGAGATGTGGTATGATTGCCAATGGGAAGAACTAATAAGGAGATGTGGTATGATTGCCAATGAGACTCACTAATAAGGAGATGTGGTATGATTGCCAATGGGAAGAACTAATAAGGAGATGTGGTATGATTGCCAATGGGAAGAACTAATAAGGAGATGTGGTATGATTGCCAATGGGACTCACTAATAAGGAGATATAGTATGGTTGCCAGTGGGACTCACTAATAAGGAGATGTGGTTTGATTGCCAATAGGACAACTATCCACCAAGAACAAAGGACAAGGATTAAACAACTAATTCATTTTATTTTTAGCTCACCTGGCCCAAAGGGCCAAGTGAGCTTTTCTCTTCACTTGGCATCCGTCGTCCCGCGTCCGTCATCTGTAAACTTTTACAAAAATCTTCTCCTCTGAAACTACTGGGCCAAATTTAACCAAACTTGGCCACAATAATCATTAGGGTATCTAGTTTAAAAAATGTGTCCGGTGACCCGGCCAACCAACCAAGATGGCAACCATGGCTAAAAATAGAACATAGGGGTAAAATGTAGATTTTGGCTTATATCCCTGAAACCAAAGCATTGAGAGCAAATCTGACATGGGGTAAAAAGGTTTATCAGGTCAAGATCTATCTGCCCTGAAATTTTCAGATGAATCAGACAACCTGTTGTTAGGTTGCTGCCCCTGAATTAGTAATTTTAAGGAAATTTTCCTGTATTTGGTTATCATCTTGAATATTATTATAGATAGAGATAAACTGTAAACAGCAATAATGTTCAGCAAAGTAAGTTCTACAAATAAGTCAACATAACCAAAATGGTCAATTGACCCCTTGAGGAGTTATTGCCCTTTTATAGTCAATTTTTAACAATTTTTCGTAAATTTTTGTTATCTTCTCCTCTGAAACTACTAAGATCAATTTAACAAGAGTTGTAAACAATCATCATTAGGGTATGTAGTTTAAAAATTGTGTCCGATGACCCAGCCTGCGAACCAAAATGGCCGACATGGCTAATATAGTACATAGGGTAAAATGCAGTTTTTGGCTCATATATCTATACCCAAAGCATTTCGAGCAAATCTTTCAAAAACAAAATTGTTCATTAGGTCAAGACCTATCTGCCCTTAAATTTTCAGACCATTCAGGCAACCCGTTGTTGGGTTGCTGCCCCTGAATTGGTAATTTTTTAGAAATTTTTTCAGCTTTTGGTTATTATCTTGAATATTATTATAGATAGAGATAAACTGTAAACAGCAATAATGTACAGCAAAGTAAGACCTACAAATAAGTCAACATGACCAAAATGGTCAATTGACCCCTTAAGGAGTTATTGCCCTTTATAATCAATTTTTAACAATTTTCATAAATTTTGTAAATTTTTACAAAATAATTTCCACTGAAACTACTGGGCCAAGTTCATTATAGATAGAGATAATTGTAAGCATCAAGAATGTTCAGTAAAGTAAGATCTACAAACACATCACCATCATCAAAACACAATTTTGTCATGAATCCATCTGTGTCCTTTGTTTAATATGCACATAGACCAAGGTGAGCGACACAGGCCTTTAGAGCCTCTAGTTTTTATACCCTCAATATTTTCTACTGAAACAACATATTATTTGAAAAGCATGGGTTGAATGGTTTATAAGTAATTGTACGGAAAAGACTCTAAAGTGCCTGTTTCTAATATATCAAGGACCATACTTGTACCTCCTAAAACTTGACCTCCATTTTGTCAACAGTTACAACATTAGAATTTGAAAGGCATTGGTTGAACAGTTCAAAGTCATTGCATGGAAACTACATAACATGCCATTTTCCATTCTATCAAGAACCCATTACTTCTAAACATAAAAGTGAAAATCGTCAATATTGAGCTTGACCTCCATTTTGTCATCAGTAACATCTTATTAAAATTTGAAAAGCATTGATTTAATGGTTCATAAATTATTGCATGGAAACTGTTGACAGCTGCACGCCCGCCATACTTCACCAATTGAAGATTTTTCCTTTAGAAAACCCAGTTAAAAATGTCCCAATCTACAAATCAATATTAAAAATTGGATCCTCATCATCATGTCTTCTTCAAATTATGCTTACCAAAGTTACAGACAATTAAAAACTCAACTATTGCAATGTAGCATAAGTCAGGAGAAATTCAAGAAAAGGACATATATGAGTAAAAAAAATTGAATTTCTTAGGGATATAACTCTACCTCCAAAATAAATTATCCTAGGAATAGATTACCTTAGCTGAATTTGGTAAAAACCTTTTGGAATTTTTGGTCCTCTGTGCTCTTCAACATTGTACTTTATTTTGCCTTTTAAACTTTTTTGATTGTAGTGTCACTGATGAGTCTTCTGTAGACAAAATGTGTGTTGGGCATACAACATTATAAGCCTGATATCTTTTATGAGTTTTTTTAACTGTACAAGTAAATACAAACATTTATATAAGTATTACCCCAGACGCCCTATAGTGATCAATCTGTCCGTCAGTCTGTCCGTCCGTCCGTCCATCCATCCGTCCGTAACAAATTGTGTCCGCTCTATATCTAGAGAACCGTTATGATTTCAAAGTTTATACTTGACATGTATATAAACCAACACCAGAGGGTGTGTCATAATGTATGTACAACTTCCTAGGTCAAAGGTCAAGTTCAAAAACTTTGGTTTCAGTTGACAACCCCATGTCCAATGATAAAGATACAAATTTTTTACTCCCATCTCAATGATATCTAGTTCATTATGATTGTCTGATGTACATATATCATTGTTTATCCTATCTCTGTTTAAATGTTAGAAGGGAAGACTGATAATATTATCTAACACATGTTTAATTAATACAGCTTTGTTTTTATTAGTTTTATTTTTATAACACTAATCACTTGAAAACAGTAAATAAGTATGTTAATTCTATTTATAAGGAGTTCAAATGATGGTTACAATAAACCACTTATAATGCAGCTGTTGATCTGTGTCTCATCATCCATCTACTTTGACAATATCTATCATTTTGTGTCATAAGAATTGTTGTCTGTTGACACGATTCATTTTCCTCTGCTTTTTGAATAAATGTTCCTGTAAATCCACATCTCTCTGCAACTTCCTGCGTGGCACATGCTCGAATGCTTTGCTCCAGTCTTTTGTATCCATAAATTCAAACATAATATTCATCACCTGGTTCAAGGTCAAGGACTTAATTCCTGTCCCCCATCTACAAATAAATATAATATATGCATAAGTTCTACTATGTAAGTAACTCACATGGAAAATACTGATCATATTACGATTTTGCTGTGTTTTGTTCAGCAGCTCACAAGATCATTTTATAAATAAACATGACTGTTTGTTGGACTGACAAACTTAATTCTGACTATCAATATAATCAACTTTTAATTTATACTACATGTACTATATCATATAGTGATAGATAGCCACTAATTGTCCTATATCATATAGTGATAGATAGCCACTACATGTACTATATCATATAGTGATAGATAGCCACTACATGTACTATATCATATAGTGATAGATAGCCACTACATGCACTATATCATATAGTGATAGATAGCCACTACATGTACTATATCATATAGTGATAGATGGCCTCTACATGTACTATATCATATAGTGATTGATAGCCTCTACATGTACTATATCATATAGTGATAGATAGCCTCTGCATGTACTATATCATATAGTGATAATGATAGCCACTACATGTACTATATCATATAGTGATAGATAGCCACTACATGTACTATATCATATAGTGATAGATAACCTCTACATGTACTATATCATCATGATCATATAGTGATAGATAGCCTCTACATGTACTATATCATCATGATCATATAGTGATAGATAGCCTCTAAATGTTTACATGAATTGTTCTCACATTCATTCAACAGCAAAAGAAAACTGTCTATAGAAAACCACATAACTTTTCCTGGCCTAAAAGTCATAAACATTTCGAGTACAATTACCATATTCAGACTCAGAAATCAACCAATCAAAATATAATATTAAGTGTTCAGAGCACAAATTTTACACTATGAGCACTGAGTAAAGTTTTATGATTAAAAGGCTTGGTATCATTATCTTAACTTTGAGCAAATAAGTTTTTGCTCTTACTCCTAAATGGTTCATGCTAAGTAGGAAAGTAGCAAATGTTAACTTCAAATGCCTTAAATTAAACTTGTAACCTATTGCAATGAAGGGAAGCACATGTTTCTGGGTCTTGTCATCAGTGGTTGTCTTATGTCATACCTTAATGTTTTTTATGTTAATTTGAGATTTAACATGATTGGCATATCTTTGATACTTACTGTTACTTTTTTAATTGTCTTGCAAGAAAATAATTAAACCTAATTTGGGTCTCTATGCATGCAACCTTTAATTTTACCTTTACAGTCAGGGCAGATGTATAATTGTATATAATACTTATTCAAATGTCATTTATAGACAACATGACTCATGAGCTAAATGGAGAAATCTACTGCACACAGAGGTCATGTAAAAGTGCAAGGCATCCATAAATTGCTGCATTGGGGCTTGATATAAGGCAGTATTTTAATTCTAACAGACCAGGCCTCTACAATAACTTTTTTTTCAACTTGCCCAATAGGACAAGTACATACCAAAACTAACTTGTCCGAATGGAATTGTAACTTGTCCAAAAAAAATCTTAATATTAACCTTTTTTGCATTTTAAGTTAATTCAATGAACAAAATGAATAAAAACAATAGAACAGAATTTGATTTATATATCTGGATATCCTTTTCAAAAATATGAGTCAAGAACAACTGAATCTAGTCATTTCACAGGACTTAGGTTCTAGGTTTTATCAATGCCAAAGTCTCATCAGACTCTGCACATGAGGCTGAGTCTGGTAGGCCTGTTAGTCTACACTCATTTGGTCTTTTATCATGTTTATGTTGATAAAATATTGATTATTATGATTAATGCCTTACTACAATCAGCTTTGTTTTTAATATATTAAAATGTTTATTCAAACGCAATCAAGTATTGTTTTGTCTAAATATGAGCATATATGATTTTATGAATTTTATGGTTAATAATTTCTTATAATAAAAATAATTATTATTTTAAAAATATTTTTGTTAAATAAAATTTATCCTATTTATTATACAGTAACAGAATAAGGTTGGTACTGGTTTGTCTTGGTCCCGAAATGTCTCCCTATTTTGCCGAACTGTCTATTAAATATGAACTGTCTTGTTACCTTATCTACAAAGCACAATGCTGCTGATAGATGGTAAGACTGATTTCAGGAAAAGTATGTGTTTTATCTTTTATAAAGTATCTGACAAAGAACCAGTTTCAAATTATAGATCGCAAATAAACATGTCAAATTAATATTTATTTTTATCTTCTTTTCTTGTTTTTTTTTGTTTATTACTTTGAGCGTTTTTGTCGAGCCCTGCAGACAAATGAGATTTTTTTCTTTGTCCATGAAATTCGACTTTAATGATTAGTAAAGACATCCATTATGGAAAGACAATTCTTTTAGAGAAATGTAATTAAGAGGAATTCAAGAAAAGGAGAAAATATTACTTTCTTACTTATATTGGTAACCGAACTCCTGTACCAGATTAATTAAGGACTCACACAATTTAAATAGAAAATTGAATGTGAAAGAAATACTATTTCAATGAGTAACTTAAACTTACACACAATATTTATCTAATGGAAGTCTGCAACTTCTAATTTTTTCTTGCTTAGCTTTGGCATACGATACTGGTTTTTGTCCTTCCTTGCCACCACCTAAGTCAACATATCCTCCCATTATATAGATGTTGTCTGAGTGATCTTGTACTAATTCAAAAGGTGAGTGTGGTGACAAGTATACCAGTCTTTCCTTTGGGAATAGGTCCACATAATTCTGTTCTGTACATTTCATCATTAAAGTTGGATAAGCAGATCGCTCTTTTTGAATATAGTTGAGCTTTTTAAAGATGAAGCTATCATGAATCCAGTTGGTAAATATGAGATCACTCGGTTCATTTCTAGATCTATTGGCACCATAACCGTTGAGTAATTGATCTACACAACTGTTTTTCTCTTTAATTCCCATGTATGGTTCATAGCTCATATCAACAACGAATGGTCTACCAAATAACATAGATTGTGCTAGTTTAGAATCAGTTTGGTGAACCATAGTTTGTCTTAAAATCTTTATATGAATAGTATTTTTCTTCACTGGATTATACAATAGATCTCCCATCAGAATTTTTTTTTCTGCATTATGCAGTTCCATCTTTTTCTCATTTTCTCCTTTCTTCTTTGCTCTTAATAACAATGCACTTTCCTTTTTTTGAAAGAAACGCAACAAGTTTTTCCGTTTTGATGAAGAATGTCCTGTCATTAACAACTGTGCCCACCATTCATCCTTCATTTCTATTGGTGCCTACAATAACATAAGATAAATATTACTTGTAATTAAACCTGAGGTTCATAAACAACATTCAAATTAACCAGTGTCCATATAAATAAACGGTCTATGGAAATGAGGAAAGGTGGCATGCACTTAATGTAAATTATAGCACTTGACCCTCTTATGGGTCTTGTTTGAGCTGTATAAAATTATTTCAATGTATTGTACATTGTTATACATGTTATCATGGAATGCTTATTGATTTTCTAGTGATAATTTGCAAAATATTGTCCTTTTAGGTCAATGGCAATATATTTGAACATCAGAATTCAAATAAAAATAAAGGATTTTAAGCACATACATGACATACTAGAAATGGTTTTAGATTTTTTTCAAAATGTTTTACTAATATTGCCTGTAAAAAAGATTGGAATAAACATGATAAATGTACACTAAGATCAAGAAAAATCTAGAAACATGGAAACTTTAAAAACAAAATCTCAGAAAACATGGAAACTTGTAATTAACCAAACACTGGGTAATTAAACTGAACCCTGGCTACCATTGAAACCTAAGCCGAACCCAAATTTTTATAGAACCTGTTTAAAGTGAACCCTGGGTAATATGGAAACGAGTATAAACAAACCAAAAGTAATGTGGAAACCTGTATAAACCAAACACTGGGTAACATAGAAACCTGTATTGCCCAAACCCTGGAAAACATGCACACCTGTATTATCTGAACCCAGGATAACACGAAAACCTGTATTAATCAAACACTGGGTAACAAGGAAACCTGTATTAACCGAACTCTGGATAACATGAAAAAACCTGTATTAACCGAACCCTGGATAACATGAAAACCTGTATTAACCGAACACTGTGAAATATGGAATCCTGTATTGCCAAAACCCTGTGTAACATTTAAATTGATCCCAAAAGAATAGTGAAACCGGTACATGTTGTTTAAATTAAATCCTGGGTATCTTTAGAACCTGTGTATATAAAACAAGGGATAATTATGAAATCTGAGTAAACTTAAAACCCTAAGTGTCAAGAAAACCTATATAAACTGAAGCCTTGGAAACCCTTCTCATAATTCACAATCCATTTTTGTGCATGCATTCTTAGCTCCCTCCTTTCTACTCCAAGCTTACAGTAGTAAATCAAAGCACGAAAGTGCTGTAAAGGCAGTTAATTACAGGTTGTGTGTATTTTAAGTCCAGTTATATCATTATCTTGCATAGTACAGTGTACTTATCAGAGGTGGCTTTCAGTATTTAAGATTTAGAGTTCTCTAATGATATTGAACAAGTTTTATGAATGTCATATTCTGAGCACTATATGAAGGCGATTGTTCTCACTTGTTTATGAACTAGTGCATTATGTCCAGTTTATACCTTTTTTATCTATGTTTATAGTCAAATTAGTTATCAAAGGTACCAGGATTATAATTTAATACGCCAGACGTGTGTTTCGTCTACATAAGACTCATCAGTGACGTTCAGATCAAAATAGTAACAAAGCCAAACAAGTACAAAGTTGAAGAGCATTGAGGACCCAAAATTCCAAAAAGTTGTGCCAAATACGGCTAAGGTAATCTATTCCTTGGATAAGAAAATCCTTAGTTTTGTTATTGGCAATCATAACACATCTCCTTATTTATATAATGATCTATATTCAACGACCTCAGGTACAAAAAAAATGTATGTAACTAAACTATGATGGGAAATCTTTGACTTCTTTCTATTATATAAACTTTTGATTTGGTACCATAGAACTATGTAGAGTAAATGTACATTGCAACATGTCAACTCTTTCAACTCCAAGCAAAATTATATTTCCAAGCATAAAGTAATTTATGAATGAAAAAAGGAGTTCTTAATTAAGAAATAAACTGATTCGCTGAGCGCAGCTGGATACACCCGCAAAGGTCCAACCCTGAACAGCTGGGGCAAAAATGGACACAATATTCAAGCTTGATACAGGTCTGAATTTGGATTGTAATTAAATATTTGACAAATTTTAGTTTCTGAATAAATGTAGTCAATGAACTTGAAATCGGTTATATGAATTGAATTTATATTCAATTAAAGATTTCTTGCTGTTGTGCAATACACTGTGCTGTTGCGCAATACTTAATAAATCTGTTGCCAGACTATAAACAAATAAAGTTCAATTTCTTCTCAATGTCATATTTGAAATTTATGAAAATCAATAGGGAGATTACATGAATAGCTATAAATAATTCACCAAAGTTTCATGTGAACTGCTTAAAGTATTTTTGAGTTTTTGTCCAAAAACTGGAAAATCCCCCCTTTTTTAATGAATAAAACCCCATAACTCAGAAATGTAAAATCTAAAATTTATAAAATTCTAAAGGGAGCTTACGGATTGATAATTTAGTCTTAGATGCAAGATTTTTTTATCAGTTGTTAGTGGCTTTGAACTAGCTGTCAGTACATATGTAACTGTGAGTACTCTCAGATCTGTACTTAGTGTCTTTTTGTTGTTTGGATGTACAACTACCCGACCATGTCCACTTGTATTTGTATTTATCCATCTGATGAGTTTAGCCTCTTTCAACTGATTTTTATAGTTCTTTCTTATATTGTACTGTTACACCACTGTCCCAGGTTAGGGGGAGGGTTGGGATCCCGCTAACATGTTTAAGGCTGCCACATTCTGTATGTACATGTATGTGCCTGTCCCAAGTCAGGAGCCTGTAAAAGTGTAATTCAGTGGTTGTCGTTTGTTTATGTGTTGCATATTTGTTATATTTGTTCATTTTTTTTACATAAAATAGGCCGTTAGTTTTCTTGTTTGAATTGTTTTACATTGTCATTTCGGGGCCTTTTATAGCTGACTGTGCGGTATGGGCTTTGCTCATTGTTGAAGGCCGTACTGTGACCTATAGCTGTTAATTTCTGTGTCATTTGGTCTCTTGTGCATGTGTGGAGAGTTGTCTCATTGGCAATCATACCACATCTTCTTTTTTATATTTACATCAACAGATATAAAAAATTCACCAAAGTCAAGGTGAGACAACAAAACTTAGTTGTAAGATCTCTGAAATTTTTTACAGGGTACGAGTTTTTCTCATTGTTGGAGATTGTACGGTGACAGTAACACCTGTAACTGCTTAAACCCATTTCTTATGCACTTTAGTTTGATAAACTCACTGAAAATCATACCACATCTCCTTATTTTTATATGCATTACAATTTACATGTGCATGTAATTGTAAATATATATATATCAGAACAAAATTCATTGCGTCACTTTTATTTATGCATCCTTTGGCACAATACAAGTTCTAAAATTACACAACATAAAACAACTAAATGTTATTTCAGATGAAAGTTTTGTTTCAGTTCCATTCATAGGATTTACTAGAATTTTGTATGTTTTGCCAAGTCCAATAATTTGCTCTATGTGACATAGAGACATAGTTGACTAAACCACCAGGTGTCGAACATTCAAGAATTTTCAGTGTTTCTGTTTTTATTTGATGAAAAGGTTGCCTGAGCTCTAGGAGCTTTAGGTTTTATCACGGGATATTCTGTGCTGTCAATAATAATCCAAGTCGTAGGAAACTTTAATTTGAAGTTGGATGGTGAAAAATACCTGACTAAACCACTAGATGGCCAAGTGTTAGCCTCACACCACTGTTTAGACATAAAAACAATCCATGTATACACAATGTTCTTAACACTAGATTCAATCTAGAATCTAGGCAGTTCAAAGTTGGTTGTATGATGCCTCAATTTCATCAAAGTCATAAAAAAACTGATTTTCAACTGACACCCTATCAATTTGAAAATATATGTATCTCAAACAATGTGCTGCTGGACCAAGTGTGGTCAAAACAAATAAAAATTTAGTATACAACTCTAAACCGGTATAAAAATGCATGGCTGTGTCACGTGTCTTCATTTCAAAATTCTCTGCTGAAAACATAGGCATTGATGGTGTTTGCGTAATTCCATCTGTGAAGCTCAACATTAGCTCGGCAGTTGGTGGTGGACAGTCATAAATCCTTTCTGCAGTATGAATGACTTCTTCAGGAAAACCAACTTTACAATCAAAACTTTCCTCTAGATTTCTACTACAATATTCATCAAGTTTAGTTCTTTTGTTTTCACAGGAAACTGCCCTGATTTTTCTTTTTGCGGACGATTCAGTCTCTTGCTTGGTCCAGGAAAATAGGCTGAAAAAGGTTATAAAACATTAGTTTTTTGATAATTAAATGAACTTCCATTAGCAATGTATACTTTGTACTACCTGGCGAAATATTAACTAGATTTATTCATTGCAATCTGGATAAAACTATGTTTGCCTGATTCAATGTATGTTATGTAAATCCAAAGGACAAACAATGAGAGACTTATGCAACAAACGTACATTGTTTGTACCTAAATAACTATAATATAGATGAGAGCATGTCATTGTTTTGTTCCTGTTAACATTGTCATTGATATTTTTCAAGAAAGTCTATGAGGCATAGCTTATGCATTCCTGTCATTACTACATTAGCATAATTACTGCTAAAATAATTCTCAGTATGATATACCTCTTGTAAGAAATCATTATAATTGTAGCAATCACCAAAAAATCTCAAACAGATCACATTGAATCGTAATCCAAAAAATTATGACGTCTTGAATTACCCACCCCCTTTTATTCTAAAACGATAATTGCGGTTGTAAACAGACTTTGGTTTATTCGCATGGCGATTACATATATAACTATATATTTCACAAAGAAAATAGAGTTTTACCATGAATAGTTTCCTGCACGTAGTCTTTTTCAGTAAAACGTGCCTTGCAAACAACAGCTGATTGAGATGGACTCCACGATATCATCGTGTTCTCGTCCAATCTGTGTATGGGCCATGGCGTTGATCCAACTTTTCCTTCTTTTTAAGTCATTTGGAAATGCATGTCCTCCTCTTAAATGACATCCAGGTACACAACAACAAGTACTTGGCATCGTTAATTAAAAATATAACTGAAATAGTTGCACAGTGCAGAAACCGGAAGTAGAGGAACAGGATCCGCTACCACGGCGCCACCTATTCAGGAACGATAATTTGCTACTTTATATAACTGCGAAATTACAATAACGTTATACGGGTTCACGTGCATAAACAGAAATTCGCTTTAAATTGTATAATATAATTTATGTTCAGTCGACCTTTAATTATTATATCAACGACTGAAATGATTTATAAACATCTAGATTGCAGATAACACTCGAAATTAACCCGAGCTCTTTCCACACGGAATTCAAATAATTCTAGTTTGTCAATCGGTTGACTGCTTATAATGCAAAATACTAATATATCAAAAGTTTTTAAAACTAACAAAACACAATGATCGTTTCTCTATTTCCCAATGTAAATGAAATGAAACAAAAACCATTTTATATCGCAATAAGAAGAGGAGAGAATTCAACATTTCCGGATCTACTTGGAGCCTAATGACCCCCCACGTAGATAAGTTGGATATCGCGGAAGGAAGGATTAACCCGGCAACTAGAAAGGCATTAAAGCACTGCCTTTAAAAATGAACTTGGATATATGGAAAAAACATGATAACCTACATTGTACATTTTCAAAACTTGGAATTATATTCATAGACAACTCAAATTAATCAAAGGGTGATAATTGTGTTCTCAAAATATTTACAAGGAATAAGATAAATGTGTTCTTGAACTATATACAAAGACAAACTATCACCTGTGATGAAATACTACTGGTAACTTCATATTCCAGTTTATAAGCTTGCAATTTTTTCTTTTCTTCTTCCGTAAGGTTACTTAAATATTGAGCTGCAGTCTCTGGAGTAAATAGTCCCTCCAAAAGAGGTTTCTCTGATGAGTCTAGTGTATAATCTTTCTCAATTAAAGGAGCATGTTCACTGTCATAGAAGTAAGAAGTTGACATCATTGTATGCCCTCCTTTATTGTGGAGCAGTGTCTGTTTTCTAACATTCTGCAGTCTTCCTCTTGACAACTTTGCCATCTGGAACAGACATCTTCTTATGCAATTCATCTCAACTTATTCTGAAATAAAATAAAAATCTATTGAAAGCATTTCCCTTTGTAGCACAAAGTTAAAATTACTGTTATAAATGTGTCTGATTAAAACAAACGTTTTTAACATTCTATCCTCAACAATACATTATTTTTCAGCTATCTTATAACAGTCTTCTGTCTTTATTTTATCCATCTACATGTACTTTAGTCCAAACTATGAAAAGACAACAACATTCTGATTACAGCAAGGAAATTATTCATTGTTTCAACATGTTTTACAATGTTTTACCACTTAGAGTGACATCTTCAGGACAATATAAGTAAGACAGTAAGACAGAAAACAAACACTAAAGTACATTAAACATGGTTAATGAGGGGATTGCAGAAAGGATAACAGGATGTGACAACCCAATTATTGGTATGACAACTGTAAAAAGAAATTGAAAGTAAAAAGTGAATAATAAATTGTCAGTATCATTTCCAAAAAGGACAATATCTCACTGGACATTCCTTACAATTTCAACTGGCTTTACTTCCAATTGCATTTGAATATTGTTAGATGTATGGTTATTAAACATGTTTGAAATTGTGGAAATTGTGGTAAATCTGTGGAAATTTGAAGTTTTGGTATAATATCCTGGCATGTGTTTCAAGTTTATTTTGATAAGTATGTCAAGTGGTTCTTTTGGTTTCTTCTGTCTCTGGTACTTTTCCTTGATTCTTGTGATGAACACAAATTTCTAGAAAGGATCAATTATCTCAATTGATCTGTGATGTTATCCATGCTGTGTAGTCGAATAGTATAAACCCTTGTTTGGGAAAGGTGGATTGATGCAGATACAGAGGTTCACTGAGAAGTTAAAAATAAATGGGTCATGTGAACCAATATCTTCCAGCATTACAATCTAGTAGAGTAAACAGGATGGACACCAATGTATGCTGAGGTTGTCTTAAAACCTGATGAATCCTAAATATAAAAAGACAACATCCAGTTTACGACAAAGAAATTATTTATTGTGTCTACATGTTTCATCACTTACGAGTGGCCTCTTCTGGACAATATAAAGATGAAAAACTAACACTTTTATCTATCTACTACAGTGTTTGAAATCAGCCTCATATTAATAAAGGAACAAGTCGGTGAGAAAGGAGAACAGTGGGTTCCCATAGCATGCATAGGAATGCCAACTGTCTTTTGAAAAACCCAACTACCAAACATAACAAATATATTTTCAATCAATAGGTATTTCCAAAATTGAAACACATTCTGAAAGGCTGATATTGAATTTTTTTCTATTCAATTCTTACCTACTTCAGCTGTACGGAATTGTGCTGTAGGTGTACATGTACAAGTAACCAGTTTGAGGTGATGTAGTTGGAAAAATTACCGAATAAACTTAAAATGTAATCATGGTAATAGGGCTTGAAAAGCAATTCTGAAGCAGCCAATTTAGAAAATTACACTGGACACAGAATCCATAAGGAATTATCATAAAAGGCCCCAGTTTGAAATTACTGATTAAAACATACCTGCCAACCCTCCTGTGACGAAATTCCGGAAATCTCCCGATTGCCAGTCCCCTCCCGCACGGGAGTATCGAATCTCCCGCTTTTGGATATTTTACCTTGAATTGACCAGTTAACATTATTACGTTTTTGTGTCACTGATGAGGGTATTTTTTACCTGTAAATCACAGTCCATGTGAAAATTAAATGGCTTCACATGACAGCTTGGGTGTCAAACATAATACTAATTAACGATCATTAACGACTTTTACCTCAAGCTTTGTATATTTGAAAACACTTCAAAGAAATTTCGGGTTTAATCCTGTTTTAAGTTACCCTACTTAAACAGGCGTATGACATTTGCGCCGATTTTAAAAAGTTTCGATCTGTCATTTGCGCCGATTAAGCACAGGTAAATTACAGTTGAATGTTATTTTTTAGTTATCAATATAAACCTCTTCCGTTAGCCAGTTGTACATATGTTATAAATTGTCAATTATAACATGTATATAACTGTTGTCCCCTGCAAATAGATTGTTGTCGTTTTCATCTGGCACATAAACTGGTGGAGGAAAATCCAGTCTGTTGGTTTAAGTATACATTTTTAAACAGAGTATAAAGACAAATCAAGTGACACTGGTAAATAGTTATCTCAATTTTTGGGCTATCATTCCTTCCCCCAGATGAAATCGAGGACTGCTTCATGTTTGACATTAGGTCTGAAGCTCCTTCTGATGACAGATGTCATGCATTCTTAGACTACGTATTATTAAAGTATTTATATATGCTTAACTTCACGTTATTCACCTTATTTCTGGGCAGCTACACCCGTTGAAAATTGTAAGAGAACGAATAAGTCCTGAATCGTTTCATTCGCATAAATTGACTTCTATTGCTTGAAATCCTTATTTCACCTCCCCGTGGTAAGCAGGGGACAACAGCTTAATACATGTTATAATTGTCAACAGAAGAGATTTATAATGATAAATAAGAAATAAGAAATAACATTCATCTGTAATCTACCTGTACACAATCGGTGCAAATGAAAGAAAAAATCAGCGCAAATGAAATAAAAAATCGGCGCAAATGCAAAACGCCGACTTAAACATGTTAAAATAATGTGAATTGGTTAAAGAATGTAAATTAAATACAAATTGAACAAAGAATCATAAAAGGATGGTAATTTAATGATTTTGAAGACCTTAGGGAAGCAGGACAAATCGCCCCACTGGCAAATCGCCCCACACCAAATCGCCCCACTTTTTCACCAACTCGCCCCACTTTTAAAAAAATCGCCCCAAACTGGTTTACCAACTCGCCCCACTTTTTAAAAAATCGCCCCACTTGTGAAAAGGGTTAAATCCCGTTAATTTTTCTCCTGCCAACTCGCCCCACTTAATGAAAAAATGTAAAATCTAGATGAATAATTCTTTTATTCATAAGTGGGGATAGTTGGTAGTCTGTAATTCTGTACATACTTTTATTTATCAGTGGGGTGAGTTGGCAGACATAAATTCAACGGCATTACTTCCTTTTTCATAAGTGGAGCGAGTTGGCATGACTCAATTCATCAGGATTTTTCTATTTTTCACAAGTGGGGCTAGTTGGCATTCAATTCGCAGAAATACTGATACTCACTTCTTTCTGCTTTATTTCAACAAAAAGAAAAGAACTACAAAAACATGTTTATCTAAGGTTTTTATAGGTATTGATTTTATTTATAAGTGGGGCGAGTTGGCATTACTGAATTCATCGTGGTTTATCTATTTGTCATGAGTGGGGCGAGTTGGCAGACCTTATTTCAGCGGGATTTTAACCCTTTTCATAAGTGGGGCAAGTTATCCAACCTATTTTCAATGGGATTTTACCCTTTTTCATAAGTGGGGCGAGTTGGTAAAAAAGAGTGGGGCGATTTTTTAGAAAGTGGGGCGAGTTGGTGAAAAAGTGGGGCGATTAGGTGTGGGGCGATTTGCCAGTGGGGCGATTTGTCATGGATTCGACCTTAGGACAAAAAATATAATTATATTTTGAAAATCATTTAATAGATCTATACTTCTATTCAATGTTCAATTGCACCATTCTTTACATTAAAGATGATCACTTGAAATAGACATACCATTGAGGTATGCTGGACTGAAGCCGTATGCTGGACTGAAGCCGGTGAAGGGACATAAAAGTCAAAGACATTGGAAAAGTAAAAAAAATAACCAACACCTTGTATAGGATATAACCACAATTGAAGAAATAAAGTATATATATTTACTCTTTCTTTGTGTTTTGTAAATATATAAATAAATAAACAGGTCATTTTTTTCACTTGAAAATGTCATTCACGCAAAATCTCCCCCTCAGCTGTCTTAGCTGAGAGGGAGATCTCCCTCTTTGAAGGTTTCAGAGGTTGGCAGGTATGGATTAAAATGAATAGGCTTAAAATAAGGGATTCTTTGTGTTGACTTTGACCTTAGAAGGTGAATTCGGCTATTTTTGATACCCTTTTTAGTCATATACTTGAAGTCCAAATAATTATGAGGTCTTGAAAGGCTATTTTAATGTTTTGCTGTGACACCTCCCTGCGACGCTTCGGACTACAGGCACTTGTTTTGAAAGAAAGGAGGAGGGGGTCTTTACCATCGAATGAAACAAGTGTCAGTGGATATTTTCTATGTCTTTTACTCATTTGACATTCTTAGGATTTCAAAGATATGGCAGTTGTATATACTTACGCTTTTGTGTATTTGACAGAGTACAATAAATACTGTGTATGTTTGTCAAATATTTAAATTATTCTCCACATGGCCAACTACGAATTTTTTCTGTGGGGAAATAATAGAACGGGAGGTGAAATGAATGTATAATGTTTGTAACCTTCGTCTTTTCTGAATATATTCCTCCGTCTCGGAGCACCCGTTTTACACGGTAAAAAACTCAACTAAGTTTATGGTACTCATAAAATGAGCAAACTATGTATTAATTCATATCCTAAAAACGATTATATAAATCATACATTTTTATCATTAAGATATAGTCGTCGTAAAACTGTATACAGGGGTAAATAACCGAGACTGCACATAAAAACCGTCTTTCGGCGAGATTAAGTTTACATTATTATTAACACAAGTCTAAAATACAAAGACTGATCAAAATCACATTGCCTACTTACAGTTATAAAAGAAAACAAAGGATATGGGGTATCCATACATGACAAAAAAATCAGTACATGTACAGCAAAGCAGTATGTAGATCGTGAGAATATTCTGCTAATTCTTGGGAGTTGGAACCTTAGTTTCTTGATAATTCTTGAGGACTTGTTTAAGAAAGTGGGTTTTACAAAAGTGCTCATTAATGTAAGTCTATACAGTATTGGCTCTCCTTTAAACGATACTCGTCACCACTGATGATAATGTTCTTGATTTGCTGGGACCGCTAGCTACAAATTTTGTAACTGTCCCTCATGAATGATCCATTATTTTTCATTGTTCTCGCCCCGTCGAAATAAATTACTAGCTATAATACTTGTTTTGCTGGAATTTGTGTCTTTTGGTTTCTGATTAATCTATAATAGAGTCTATAGAAAGCTTTTGATTCTGATTTGTCTTTTTTAAGTTGTTATAGAAATTATAGGTGTTTATCTATGTGGTCTCTTTCTTTATTTATTAGATCAACTCCGGTTTGTGATACGGTTCAGTCTTTTGGTTTTCTATGCTGTTTTTGTCATGGTATTGTCCTTTTTCCCTCGACATAATATATGAATGTCCCCCTGGTATATTCTGTCTCTCTGTTAACACTCACTTGGTTCTTTTCATCTCCTGATGTTGTAGGTTATCTTATTCTTCGGACTATTTCTTTATGTTTCCATTTGAAGAATGCTTGTTTATTCTTCTCTTTAAATTCCTTTACTTTTGTTCAACCTTTCCTTTTGATCTTTTGAGGTAAATTATCTATGCCACAACACTTAATTTGCGGACTTAGTTTTCTGTTTTCTGTTTTTTTTTTCTGTTTTTCTGCTTTGTATCTATCTTATGAGTTAAGCCTTTTTCAACTGATTTTTATAGTTTGTTCTTATGCTGTGCTGTTACACCACCGTCCCAGGTTAGGGGAGGGTTGAGCGCTCACGAACATGTTTAACCCCGCCAAATTCTTTATGTGCCTGCCCTAAGTCAGGAGCCTGTAGTTCAGTGGTTTTCGTTGTTTCATGTCTGTCATATTTTTTTTTCGTAAATTGTTTTGTTAGAATTAGGCCGTTAGTTTTTCCAATTGAATTGTTTCATATTTTTTATGTCGGGTTTTTTTATAGCCGACTCATTGTTGAAGGCCGTACGGTTGCCTATAATTGCTAACATCCACTTGATTTGAACTTTGGCGGATAGTTGTCTCATTGGCAATCATACCACATCTCCTTATTTTTAAATCAGACATTAGATATTATGTTATTTTACCAATCATGGGCTCTTGTCAGGCATGATACATAAACATCATAATACAGTAATAATTATAAAACATGCGAATTCACTAGTTCAGTGAAAATACACAATATACAAAGAAATAAAATAAAATATTTGCAATATAGGGTATTGTTACAGTAATGAGGTCGATTTTATAAAAATAGATATAAAATATATTTACAGGAAATAATAGCACAAGAAATATAGTTGCTTCACATCACGATGCGGAGCGATTCAGTCGACAAACACGCCATCTTGAAATAACTAGATATCATTGAGATGGGAGCCATCTCTGTGGGCCCCGCTGTGAATAATGTGTGGTAAAAAATTTGTATCTTTATCATTGGACATGGGGTTGTCAACTAAAACCGAAGTTTATGACCTTGACCTTTGACCTAGGAAGTTGTACATACATTATGACACACTCTCTGGTGTTGGTTTATATACATGTCAAGTATAAACTTTGAAATCATAACGGTTTTCAAGATATAGAGCGGACACGATCTTTACCATAGGACATGGGGTTGTCAACTAAAACCAAAGTTTTTGACCTTGACCTTTGACCTAGGAAGTTGTACATACATTATGACACACCCTCTGGTGTTGGTTTATATACATGTTAAGTATAAACTTTGAAATCATAACGGTTCTCAAGATATAGAGCGGACACAATCTTTACCATAGGACATGGTGTTGTCAACTCAAACCAAAGTTTTTGGCCTTGACCTTTGACCTAGGAAGTTGTACATACATTATGACACACCCTCTGGTGTTGGTTGATATAAATGTCAAGTATAAACTTTGAAATCATAACGGTTCTCTAGATATAGAGCGGACACAATTTGTTACGGACGGACGGACGGACAGTCAGACGGACAGACAGACGGACAGACGGACGGACCGACAGACTGATCACTAAAGGGCGTCCGCCATTCGGCGGGGCCCTTATTACTTATCACATATTGATTCTGATTGGTTGCTTTATGATGCGGCTGAGATACAGCAACAGCTATTGGCTTAAATTAAATAAATAATTACAGACTTTTCTCGTCTCAGGATAAGACATCAAATGCCGGAAAATCAATTATGTGTATTTCAGTTCCGATCAACTGTCATTTATTCATGTTCGATTTATTATGCATATATTGCACATTGAAAATCAATATTGAAATATCAACTATTAATACGTGTTTATTTGCTTTGTTAATCTGCAATATGCACGATTTGTTTTGCTAAACAATGTTTACAAAAATGCATTATCTGTATTTTATAACTTCTGCCAATCTAGGCACACCTCCAGAGTCGTGTCTATTTGTAAATGTTTTAATTTTCAACAAGTAAAGTGAACAAAATTTTAAAAGCATGAGTGTATAACGCTCACTCTTAAAGTAGAACAACATCATTTTCACTGAAACTAAATACTTATTGCTGTTTACCATTATATGTTATTAACATCCCTAAACATTCATATATATCTAAATAAATTATATACAGAACTAGCAATCAAAGTCGCAAGTCAATGACCAGCTGAAAGAACTTGAAAACCACACTCCACAAAAACACATTTGACAACTCAACACTGAACAGCCATGCAGTTTAACATTTCAGAAAAGTTCATCTTAATATATATTTTTATAAATGACTTTCCATCATATATTGATAATGAGGCTGATGATCTGACCTTGGGTGATACTAATATTAATTGTTTAATGTATGCAGATGATATTGTTTTGCTCTCTGCCACATCAGATGGTCTTCAATCTAAATTAAAAAATGTTGATAAGTTTTGTTTTGACTGGTGCTTAAACATAAACACCTATAAAACAAAAAATTTAGTATTTAATAAGCAGGGTAAATCTTATCAATGAAAAATTTACTCTTCAGCAAGTTGAACTGGAATGTGTACAGGACTATAAGTATTTAGGTCTTATGTTTTCGGCTTCAGGGGTCTTCTCTCATGCAAGACAGGAACTGTACAGAAAGAGTCTAAAAGGCTATTATAAACTATGCAAAGATGTTATTCGTTCACATCCAAACATTACTACCAGTCTACATCTATTTGATCACATTATCAAACCTATTTCTTTATATTCCTCTGAGAGTTCGGGTACGTTTAACCCAAAGAGTAGTAAATTTAGAAATGGTATACTCTTAATACAATTTATTTAGATCTTGAACCAGATAAATTACACATGAAAATAACAAAATTTATTTTGGGTGTAAATAGAAAGAGCAGCAATTTTGCTGTACTATCTGAACTGGGTAGATTTCCTATTTATATAAGTCTTGTGAAAAACTTATTGAATTATTATTTTAGAATTGAAAATATGCCTGAGGACTTTTTATTGTATAAATCCTTACAGACCTCAAAAGATTTAGATAATAATCACAATAGTTGGTATAGCAGTGTCAGACACCTATGTAAAATTATTGATCTGCCTTGTAACTTAATTAATTTTAGTAAATACAAATTCAGAATATGTTTACTTAGTTGTTTAAAAGTATCCTATGTTAAATCTTGGGAGAATGCTTATAATCAAAATAGCCAAGGAAAATGAAGAATATATTGTCAATTTAAAACATCATTTTGTAAAGAAAATTATTTAGATATCTTGAATAATTTTGATCTGAGAAAAGCTATTACAAAATTCAGGATTTCATCTCATCGACTCAAATTTGAAACTGGGAGATACTCCAAATTAGAAGTTCATCAAAGAATTTGTTCTAAATGCGATGTAAATAAAGTGAAAGATAAACTTCATTTTCTTATAGAATGTCTTTCATACTCTAAGGATAGAGATTTGTTATTTGATCTGATATTTAAAGAACGTAAAAAAATTTATTCCTTAGATATGGTTAATAAATTTATTTGGTTATTAAACTGCGAGTCTATTTATATTTTGAAACAACTTGGCTATTTCTTATCAAAACACCTGCCTTGAGTATACATTTATCATATAATACTGGGATACAATATTTATAATGTCTAACTTTAGTATACTGTTTTGCTGTTCTGCTTTATTGTATTTGTAATTGTAACTTTATATTGTCATATATGTATATGCACTTTGTCCCTTGAGGGTACCTCTTATGGAAATAAAAGATATTCTATTCTATTCTATTCTATTCTATATAAAAAAAATGATATTCCAAGTCTAAGACATCCATTTTATATCAATCAATATATAAAAATACCACATTTCCAATACTAAATCAACAACCACATGCACACATATTACCTTAAATTAGGATAGAGCGAAGCAGTCCACAGCTTTTTAGAAAGCTCAAACTTGTTTCATATTTTGTAGTCGTTATCCTCATGACCAGTGCACAGCAGTGCGGAACTTTACGCCACCACAATGAAAAGGTCATCAAGGGGGTGTCATTCAGAACCAGCTACAAAT